AACGGGGCCGGTGTCTAGCCTGGACGTCCGTCCCGTACGCTGGCCGTGTGTTCTTGGCAGTGGCCCTGGACGTCGGCTGTGGAAGATGCCGGTCGGCCGTTCCGCTTGGATCGGCGGGCGTCCGGGAAACACCGCGATTGTCAGTCCGGAACGCGACCCCTGCTCCCCGCACGCACCGCCGTCACGCTCCGGCGCCTCCCGGTTGGGGCCCGCATGAACGGCTCATTACAGCCTAGGTGTACGTGGAATGAGAGCACACCGCTTGAACGATACACAGTGAATGCGATTAAATGCACATTTTTTCCCTAAATGATAATTGAATCCTTTAATAGAGTCCCGAAATTGTAGGCAGTGGCTCATTCTCAACGTACCTATAGATCTGTGCGACGGGTAAGACGTGCGGAAAATGCGTTTCCATAAGCGTATCATTTTGGAGATACTAATAAATGTAAAGCAACAAATAGATCCATATATCGATTTTATAGATGTAACTAAATAAGAGGCTTTTATTGGATGGGGCGGATTGAACATGCATTCACTGAGGCCATCTCACGTTGTTGCAGCAAAACATTGTCCTTTACGGAAATTGTTAAACATAAATCTGCAACCACAGATCGAATCTGTATTCCCAAGCTTTCAATCAACAGAAATAGAATGCGTTGACTGAAATATTTCAATCAACGTAGAGTAGAATAGAATGTTTGAGGTTTGAGGTTATAGTTTATCTTCAGGACTTCAGGTAGGTTGCCGCGTTTTATACGCTAATAAATTTGTTTTGTTTTAGATTAACATAATAAGGGATTTATTTAATCAATCGTCTGAACTGCCTTACTGTTTTTTCTTCGTTTTTTTAATCCAAAATGAGTTTACCTGGTAAAACTAAACGTCAATGTTGTGCTCCAAATTGCAAAAACATTTCTTACTATATGAATATCTGTAATACTTTCTAAAGAAATCAAAGTTTTTTTCAGAATTACAAAAGACAGACAATTACTGTGGATAGAATCAGTTCGAAAATTATGTAAATCAGAATTTACTCCGACAAACACATAATTATTTTTGTGAAGACCATTTTGAGGAAAAAATGTTTAAAAAACAGTAATAGGAAGTGCTGTGCCAACATTATTTTTAGGATCAACTACAAGTTCACCTATTAATTGTAATAATATCACCTCGGAATCCTCAGATGGTATCCAACATTAAGCAAAACAATTTGTTAACGTAACGTTACAGAATTTTCATAGTACGAGCTGCCGAACTTCAATTTAGGATGGTTTTTCACCTCCACCTTTTAAAAAACCGAAATGCATATGTTTAAAATTGTTATTTGCTATAAGTGCTATAAGTGTAGTATATTACATCGTACTAATGAAAACCTTCGAAACAAATGTATCTAACCATAATTTTTGTCAAGTCACTGTGCAATGCATTTTACATAAAGTCAGGTAAATAATTCTTTCAAATTCTTTAAAATTTGCAGATTTTAATGGTTTCTTTAAAAAATAATAATTACAAGTCTCCCTGTACATTTTTTTGATACTTAAATATTTTCGAATTCATACAAAATGAATTTTGTCACACATTAAGTATCACTGCTTAACTTTTTCATTTAACCAAGTGATAATTAAAGTATTTCATAAGTAATGGGTCATGGAACAGGTGTTAATGGTTCACGTTAATTTCAATGATTAACTTAAACTATTAATAGCTGTTTTGTGATCTATTACTTATGAAACACTTTTTATTCTTTGTGTATTTTGTTACATTTAAATTTACCGCCATTATGGCGCAGCGACATCTATTAGATAGTAGAATTAATGGTTACTCTAATTGTGTTTTCCAATGCAGTTTCCTTAATTATTTTATGGTTTGTGGTTTCCGAGTGTGTCGTCTGCTACACCAGCTACAGATGGCGGTACTCTGCTACTGCTGCCGACAGAATACACAGAATAAAACCCTCTTATTTAGTTACTCATATGGGTATATCCAACGATACTTTTTAATTTATAATAAAGTATGTATGTCGCGGCAAAGATGGCCTGTGTTTACTTTTTCCTTCATAACACTGAATAACGAGATGCACCACCGATAAGACACTAAAAACAACCGTTATACGTATTATGGATATGTATCTAAGTTTTCGTAATCTTTTATTGACGAAAAAAATAAGCAATCACGTTTACGTTATTCATTTAATTTTATTGTATCTAGCCACATGGTACGTACGCCACTGGAACAGGAAACGTGGTCCGCGTGCACAACAAATACGAGATTCAACAGGCAAAAGCTACAAGTACAACCTACAAAACCCGTCAACAGGTTGCCTTCCCATGATGCAGTAATGTTAGAAAGAATAGAAAGGTAGGTACATCTATGTAAACACGGTATAGGTAGCGTATAACTGTACATTAATATCGCTGTATTATTGTTCTGTTATCTGCGGAAATAAAATAAATTGTATATATTTTAATATACCTATTTCTGTTTTATTATACCGTAGGAATGAGCGACACAATTGAACTAAAGTATAATAATTATTTCATACCTTAGAAAGTTTCAAAATAGCTTAATTATCACCCATCTAATAAATTGTGATTCCCCACGGGTATTTTTAAATTAAAATTATGAAAATTAAAACATATCCGTATGAACTCATAAAACAGACTGGTTACGCTGAAATAATTCAGTTAATTACACATTACACACAATAATATTAATTCAACTCATATTTTTAAACTTAGCGGATTGAATCGTTTTAGAACATTATTCCACACTAAGTTAAACAGACTGGAATTATGGCATGTCTTGATTTACAACTTTTTACATCTGATTATTTTCTTGAACTCGATGATTAGGCAAACCAGCCATTATTCTTCTTACAAGCATCGATCAAACTAATAAAAATACTGTAAAAAATCCAGTGCTACTGAGGTCAGAGTCGGCTTTAAGCATTTAAGCTCGGGCAGGCCGCCCAAGCTTAAGCGCACTATGAAATTTACAGCATTTCAATTTATTTGCATTTTAGATTCAGTGCGATCTGAGTCTATCATATTCCCCTAGTCAGTAATTTATCCCACTTCTCGCATTAAAAAATGTATACAATTGAATGCATATTTTTCCTGTTTTTTTTTTTGTGTTTGGAGACCACATTGAACATACAACAATTCAAATTTTTAGATGTTGCACATTTATTGATTTTATTTACAAACCGGAAATTGCCATTATTCCATGGCTAGAAATTGACCTCAATGATTTGAGGTCGAGGGGGATTATCCCTCTTTATCCTGCCTCATCTCGTGTAGGACTGGACAGCCTTCGTAGGTGGGCCCCATCTGTCGTCTACCCCGACCGCAAATGCGGCCCGTGTAGGCGCTTTGTGGGACCTCCTTTTATCCTGGCTGGGCCCCGCTGGCTAGGGCCCTTTCTTGTGGCGCTCTTCTTGAAACCGGAAATCAAGACTATATAATTGTCAGCAGTTTAGAGATAGAGATCTGTCATGCCGTTTGTCGATATAGTAAGTAACGATAGTGGCGGTAAATTACCGCCACCGCCATTATTCCATGGCTAGAAATTGGCCTCAATGATGTGGGATCGAGGGGGATTATCCCTCTTTATCCTGCCTCATCTCGTGTAGGCCTGGACAGTCTTCGTAGGTGGGCCCCATCCGTCGTCTACCCCGACCGCAAATGCGGCCGGTGTAGGCGCTTTGTGGGACCTCCTTTTGTCCTGGCTGGGCCCCGCCGGCTAGGGCCCTTTCTTCTGGCGCTCTTCTTGCTTCGCCGGCTCGTCTGTGTAAACCCCGGGGGTGGTGTCATGTTTATGGTTGGGTAGGGTGGTGCGGCTATGCAGTCTGGGATGCGCTTTGCTAAGGTGGCCCTTAGGCTAGCGGGGGAAGGGAGAGGTAAGGAGGGTATGGGGTGGTGTGTATGTGTGTGTCGTTGTCTTCGTTTCTTGATCCTGGCGGTCTCTGAAACAGAAAAGGTTAGCGGGCACGGGCCGTGCTCAAGCGAGAATTTGAAGATTTTTCGTGTTTTGGTTTAGTTTTTCGCGATTTAAAAAAAGTGGAGGGTGATGGAGCAATTTTGACTCCGGATTCGGTTTCAGCGCGTCAAAATACATAAGGATAGGTGGGTCTAGTCTCTGGTACTTTAAACTTTTTTTTTGTGGGTCTGTGTAATTTAATGTTCGTTTGTATCTTAACGTCGATCTCTCTCTTCTAAATTCTGTCAATGGAGACTACACATCTATCAACAATCAAAAGGCGTTTTCGAAAATTTCAATCATTCAATTCAATCATTGTCATTCTTAAAGCCAGGACACAATGGAAAAATATAAAGTATAAATATAAAATATTAAATATAAAATAAAAAATTCGATAAATATGCTTTCATATAGTGACACACAATGGGAAAATAAGATAACAAATAAGAAATATTTTTCGACACGTTGGAATTTAATATTTATATCTTATATTTGACCAATCAAATTAATGTACCATTTCCATACCGCCTCTCCAACTAACTTATAAATAATGTGTTTTTGTTTTGTTGTCGAGTTTAATGTCTGTAAAATGGTAATCAGAAAGAAACAGTTATTAATGTCTTGCTTTCCACATTATTTCAATTATGTCTGACAAAGCTGTGCCGAAGAATACTACTCATTGGTCAAATTGTTATAATCTATCATCAAATTATTATCATTGTGTCAAACATTTATATTTAATATGTTATATATTATATCATATTTAATATTTTCCATTATGTCCCTGCCTTTATGGTTTTAGAGAGAGAGGACGATATGTCTAGATTATTTCAGAGTTAATTTTCATAAACCCTTAAAACAACCTGATTTTAAATCAGTTGCTTTGATTCGAGTAACACAAATGAATATACCTACTGTCAGTAAACGACTTCAGCTTTGATCCAATCTACATCATTCTGCATCTATGGTGGTAAATAAGATAAAACGAAAACGTCAAAAAAAAGGTAACCTTAAAAAATAAAAATAATTACATTTTCACATAAGGTTTGTTTACTTTAAATGTTTACACTTTTTAAAATGTGTTTTAAATTTTAATACAATTTTACATATATTTTAGGACATACTACGCAATATACTTACTCAACCAGATTAATATTGCAATATAGACTACCATTCTTAGTTCATTTTCATTATTACTAGAGAATCTAATCTTAAGAGAAATGAGTCTAACTAATGAAGAAGATTTGTCGAACGTATGCAGAGTATGTTTGGAAAAATCTGGTAAATTGTATCCTCTTGAAGGAGATATTTTAAATGTTGATGTTTATATTTGTACAATGATTAGCTACTGCACTTCTGTCGAGGTAAGACTGAATTTCAAGTTATGAATTAAACATAAATTGTAAATTATTGTAGGTTGTCTTAGATAAAGATTTACCAACAGGTGTCTGTGTACCATGTTTTAGAACTATTCGTATAGCGTATAATTTCATCAAACAATTTAAAGAAACCAATGAAAGGCTATTGTTGACGAAAAAATTAAAAAAGAAACAATGTGTTGATGATCTTCAGGAAGATTGTGATGATACTGAAGACATGATAGAACTTAAGGAAGAAGTTGTTGAGGAAGAAGAATTAAACGAGTCTATTGCTAATGATCTCTCTGAACCTTCATCTGATCGGAATTGTTTCAGTCCTGAAGAAAAGATTATTATAACTTATGTTAATGATAAGAGTGGTTCAGATCATGAATTAGAATCGGCAGAAATCCTGTCCGAAAATAATGAAGAAATATCTGAAGATAATAAGAAAATAATAATGATCAAGGAAGATCCGTCAAGCCGAAATATACTTTTAAATAGACATGTATGCCCTATTTGTGACAAAATATTCCACGATTTTAGAGGAGGACTGATAAAACATCTGTACCACCACCATCACAATAATTTAATTAAGTGTAACAAATGTTCCTTAGGGGTCGAATTGTCTACAGATCTGTATGTTCAACATTACACAAAATATCACTTATATCAGTGCCCGATTTGCAACAGAAAACTCGGAAGCAAAAGTAGCTTCTATTACCATTCGAAATGCCATATTAATGGTAGCGCTTATCATTGCCCACACCAGAACTGTAGGAAAGCCTTCCAAACCCAATTCAGTTTAAGAAAACATCTTCACACCCATTCGGACGCTCCCAAGTACATTTGCAGCAAATGTGGAAAGAATTTCAATACCTACGACACATTCAGGTACCATAATAAGACTCATGACGGCAAGCGCAATCATCTCTGCAATGTGTGTGGTCGAACGTTTTTACAATCAGTTCACTTGAAGTATCACATGTGGCATCATACGGGGATCAAACAGTTTCATTGTGATGACTGCGGGAAAAGTTACACTTCCGTTACGCAGTTGAAAAAACATAGACGTAAATATTGTGGATCGGTGAGAACAAGCGACAAATAAAAAAAATAACACCTCTTTTGGTATAACCCTGATGTTGTCATTTAGGTAGTGTTAAATAAAAATGTTATGCATATATGGATGTTACGTACTTCCTTGAAGACTGCGAACGAGTGATATAAAAATATTACATAACTAATTTTTATCCAAATATAAATGTAGTGTACATTTTTCTAAAAGATTTGTATAATTCATTTGTGAAAGTTATTTAAAAAAAAAATAATTTTTAAGAATATCGGTATTTAAATTGCTTGTTTTGAACTGCATTCTATTAGAAAAGTTTAGATCCCCTAGATTTAGAGATTTTCGATTTTTTATTTCGACGGAAGCACTTGCACAAAAACGTTTGAATTAATCTGGGATAGAACCGCCTTCAGAAAGGCACCTTAATTTCTTGAAAATTTTCGTGGTGTTAGAAGCACATCATTCCAATCAATTATTAGTTCAGTGAATTGGAACGCTTTCTTGTGTCAATCATAGATAAGAACGTGTAGTGTCAATTTGACAAATCAAGATGCAGATGCGTAAAATAGTTTCAAATATTCATACCGCCATCTGTCGCTCATAAACTGCAATAAAATGCGAAATAATTTTTTTACAGGTAGTCGACTGTAATAGCCTCACACCGATGACTGTAATATTCTTTTCAATTTTCATTCAATCATGGAGACGTATAGTATTATATATTTTGTGATAGAGACTGCACGCTGCACATATTCAACGTTCACACTGATGATGTCTGCTGCCCTCTGGTCGCAGATGGACTAACTTCCCCTAAAACTGCCCATTATCCAAAGACTCTCGACAAGAGTAGAATATCGCTGGGCAAAGCTAACGAATAGACACTCTTGTTCTTTATATCAAATGGTATGCTGTAAAACTAAAATAGTGGTTTCATAATTGTCGGGTCAATCGAATGGAACTAACCCTACTGGAGCTATCTTCACTGGTACATATTGCCAAATTAACAAACCGACAGCGACGTGTCTCTCCAAAAGCCACCAAAATTACCAATAGGGAATTGTTAAGGTGGCAAGTTTCGTCTCGAGTCGAATATATTTTTAAGACTGTAAATAAATAAGTACATAATATTTGACGCAATGGCCCCAAAGGAAAAAGATACTAAGGATAAGGAGGAAAAGGTACAGGCAATAATTTTTTAATAACCCGTAATATTCCTTAATATAAATGACGATGAAAAATCGTGTCAGTATGGTACAATTTATTTTAACCTAACTTTTAGATCGCAAAAATAAATAAATGGGACGGGTCTGCAGTTAAAAATGCCATAGATGATGCCGTGAGAGAAGTAAGTTAATTTTCCGTCTTCTACATTCTTTAAAACATAAGTAGAGGTAATAGAAAATGCTTCCATTTGTAGCTTAGATATAGATGTACAGCAAGGATATAAATGTTTTCATTGCTCTGCACTCAATGCAATGTGTATAAAATATGTAAATACTACTTACATTATTTTGTTTGTAGGTACTTACAAAAAAATATAACTATGTGGAGAATTTTGCACTGATGGATGGTCGATTAACTATTTGTGGTATAGCAGTAGGTGTAGCCATGTTTGCCTTACTTTGGGATTATCTGTATCCTTTTCCACAGTCTCGGTGAGTACTTATATATAAAGATGCTATACAACTTATTTTAAATTTTAAATATTGTTTTAGGCCGGTTCTTATACTCTGTGTCAGTACATACTTTATTTTGATGGGAATTTTAACCCTATACACCACATATAAAGAAAAGGGAATTTTTGCTGTATGTCTTCAAAAGGACGGTTCTAAGAAAGAAACTATTTGGGAAGCCAGCTCATTTTTGGCAAAGTAAGTCTAAATTAACATAATATCTGCATATCACCGTTGTCACACGATCTTTTAGATACGATGACAAATATAATTTGACTCTCGCCCTGGTAGACAGTAAAACGAAACAGAGACGGGAGACAAGTTCGAAGAAAAGTGTAGCACACTTTATTGATGTTAATGGTTACGTCGTCCCCGAACAGGTTGAGAGCGAAGTGTCCAGACTGCACAACTCTCTATTGAGCGAACGCAAAACAAAATGATCTGGTCAAGTTTGCGTTTTCTGCATTTAAATTATTCCACAATTTTATATTTTAGAATAAATTGTTTGGTTTGGATGGCCGTCTTTTTTTAAAGTGTCAGAGTAATCTCAGGTATTTACGAACGCTAGGATATCTACTTATTGATAGATATTAATGCATATTACAACCATTTGAGATATCCAAACTTTGTGAAATACAAAAGGGTAGATTAAGCTGTTAACCATAGATTCTTTGAGGGAACATAATAGAGACGTTTTTAACTTTGGCATACCATTGTGTGAATATTTTCTCCGGAAACACGAAACTTTTCTCTAATTTTTCTCAAATTTGACATTACTCGAGCGGCACACCGCACTTTAGTAACTACTTTTTTAAATGTGTATAAATATTGAAAAATATGGGGGAAACCACATTACGAGGCTGATGTTCAGGCGTTTTTCATGAATTTTTTTGAGTGGGACAAATTGATTAGGATTTGATCAAACTTTAACATTTTATCAGTATTTTGAACTACATTTACAAACTATTTCAAGTGATCTCTGCTGAATATTTCGAAGTTATGGGCCGTTATCTACCGAAGGTTGTCGTCCGAGTTGGTTCATGGGAAACGTGGAGATTGCAATTTTGAGGTGAAAGCAAAGTGGTTGTTTTCCTGAATTATTAACATGTTTTGTTAGAATACGAACCACAATGTGGGTAAAAATTGTGAAAATTGAAGTTTTGACACGTATTTGAAAAAATGAATCGATTTTTACCAATTTTTCTTCACTTATTTTGAATAAAAAGACCCTTATGATATCATTTTAATTGTTGGTTCATGTTCTTAGAAATTTCATAAAGAAACACACTTTCAATTTTCATAAATAGGTTCATAACATTATGAGCTAGAGTTCCCATGAATCAAAAAAATTTTGTTTCAACAAAAACGCGTTCGAAAATTTCAGCAAATTAGAAATTTGAGAAAGTTAGTGCTTCCCGATCAATCAGCGATTCCAGGACCATAAAACTCCTTCCTCATAGGCATCAATCGGAGCTTGCGTCTGTTCTTTTCTTGCTTAATAAGTGACTAAGACTCAAGCGCACCGCCCCACCTGTTGTGCACCTGAGCGCTAACCCGATGGGGGTTTGGTTTTAGACTTATAAAATTGAAATTTCGTTTTGAAATTTTGGCAGTGTATTCTTGAACAGTTATACTAACAATTTATGCAATAAAAACCTCCTAATGTGGTTTCCCCCCTTGAGAACACTTTTGAAAGAATTGGAGAGTATTCGGTATTTTCATAACATTTGAAAATAATAACTCACTATTTTCAAAAAATATTCCTCACAATTTTACAATCATTTCATGTAGAATATAACTACTAGGCCTTTCGTTCATTTATTTTAATTTGAAAATAATAATTCTTTCATGTAGAATATAATTAGCAGGCCTTTAGCTCATTTATTTTCATTTGTTTTTGATAAACATCCACTAAAAATAAGTTCTCGAGCATTTTACAACATAATTTTTGTTTTTTCATCGTGAGAACCAGATTTTCTTGGAGAAATATAGATTTCAACACAAAAAAATCTATACGGGAAAACTTGAATTTTAAAAAAAATCAATGGTAAAATATAATGACTAGCTTTATGTGGGGTTTCTGGCGCAGTTATTTTTATTTATTTTTTTATTTAAATTGCTGATATATATCAAGAATTCAATTTAATTTCATTAAAAATGTAGCTTTGGTTTCCTTTGCCTAGTAAGCACAGGACAAACAGTAAATAAATCAATGGTTACGTCAAATTAAAATATACAGGGTGTTTCTAAATAAGTACGAAATATTTTAGTTATTTTGTGAAAAAAGTTCTTATAAACGTAAAAGTTCTTATATGCTTCGGTTCCGTGATTGTTTAAATTTTAATTTGGAGGGATAAATGTGCATTTTTTGGGGTGATCCGAACTTGCACTAGTGGCGTTCGTGCGAGAATACCACAACCTTTTTTTAATAAAAAGAATCGTATGCCATTGACTTCCCGTTTCGATATTTTTTTAGAAATCCGCCATCAACTCTGAATGAAATTCGTCTCTTCATTTTGTTTCGTAGGATGCACCGTTTTTTGAGGAAAAAAAATGGAACATATTTTACTGCAAGCTGTGTATTTTTAATTTCTATTGATACATTATCTAGTAGGTTGGTCAATATTTCTAAATAAAATACAACCATCAAAGAGTGACCGCAAAAAACCTGTGATTTTCGCCTGTTTTTTCACAATTCGCAGAAAATTAAAAAAAAATACATAAAAATATGTTTTTCGTCGCAAATTACTTGTAGTAAAAAACTGAAATGAGCATAGCTTAAAGTATTTTGAAAATTTTAAAAATCACCCCTACATAGGGGTTGAAAAAATGCCAAAAATGAAGAATATGAATATTACCAATTGATATAAAAACTAGTAACATATGAATTATCTTAATATATTTTTTTTGGAATTTTTACAATTATTTCTTATATTCTCTATTTTTGGGGATGATTCCAGCGCTTAAGGGTGGATTTTCTAATTCAACATGCTTATTTCAGTCATGAGAATAAATCTTTGCATTCGATTGAAAAATTTACATGCTAATAGTTTTTATATTTATTGGTAATATTCAATTCTTCATTTTGGGCGTCTTTTCAACCCCTAAATAGGGGTCATTTTTGAAAATTTTCAAAAAACTCATCTTAATTTTTTACGACAAGTGATTTGAGACCAAAAACATATTTTTATCTATTTTCTTTAGTTCTCTGCGAATTGTGAAAAAACGGGCGATTTTTGCAGTCACTCTTTCGAGTCAATATCTTTAAAATTCTTTGACATAATTAATAAAAATAAATTAAAAATTAAAATTTAAACACTGTATCTCGGAAATAAAGCATATTTCGACCTACGTTTATATGAACTTTTTTTACAAAATAACTTCAGCAACCATCCCCTAAAATATTTCGCACTTATTTACAAACTCCTGTATATGTAAAAATGCTCATTACACAAGTTACAAATGATAAATAAAGCACACGTAAACATTTTTCCGCTGTTCATGTACATGTTGAAAAATTGTCTTTATGCTTGGTTGATTTTTAATTGATTTTAGAAGCTTTACATTTTATGGTGATGATACAAAAGCGGAATATGAAAAGACTGGATATTTTGCCTTTTATTATATCCTGATAATAGAAGAATTTTTCAATTCAAAACATTCATTTCAAACATTCAATACGCTCGATGGCGTGAAACGTGACGTCCCAGGATCCTGACAGCCTACCAACGTAAAAATTTGTGGGCAAGCATCAACCTCTCACCCTTTAACTTACCTGGTAGAGTAGCTTATAAAACCAATAGCGTCTGTTTCACGATACAGGATATAATTAAAAAAAAATAATTACTCAATTTTTTGTAATGGTTTAAAAAATGGTTTTATTTTTGTATTTTTTTGGTGTAGGGTTTGGTTTATGAGATACTGCAACTTATTCGTATATGTGATAGAAACTTTCGTATTCATGTTACGTTTGAGGCTTGACGTTTTTACAAAAAATTTGTGTATTTTGAAATAACGATTTAGACAAGGCTTTTAGTTAAACGTTCTTGTAATTTACTTTATTCGATTTAAAATCAGTTACATTCCAATATAATTTAGAAAAGGCAAGCACGTAAAGTCGCGATTGAAAATTAAATGTTCGATGTGTCTACCACGTCCATCTAGTGGTTTTAGACTTTGTTGTCCTTAGCACGAAAAATGTTTCAGTTCGATGATTGTGAAAAAGAATTTCACAATCCTTGAACTAAAACATATTTTGTGCTAAGAACAAATAAAAACAAATTTTAGTAAAACTAGAATAAAAGAAAACTTGTATCTATTTTTTTTTCTTTTATTAACGTTAACACGTCAACCTTTTTTTTGTACACCCTGTATATCTATGAAGATTAAAGTGGTAATCCTGTCTCAAGCGTTGATCAGTTTAATAAAGCAATATCTATCAATAAGTATATTTTTTCCTTACTTGTGGAAGCTGTAAATGGATTTATTGAATCGCTTTTTTAAATATTTCATGTATTTTTTTACGCTTTTAAGTCAACGTTTACGTTTAGGTGAAAAAAGAATAAAATTATCTTCTACTACTTATACTTTGGCCTAATTGTGTTCAAAATTATTTTGTTTATTGAAATTTCTGTGTATACATTATATTTAAGAATAATTTGAAAAAAAAAAGATAAGTACTCAAGAAACATTGACAATTTTTTATGTTGTGTGTATGTGTAAAGCAAGCGTTTATAACTTTCTTTGGAAATAAAAGTGGTGTTCTTTATAAAAAATATAATTTTCTAATACGTTCAACAACAAACTAATAATATCATCAAAATACTCTAAGAAATTTCCATTTCACTTTGAGGAACTGGCTTGTGGACCCTGTAGGGCTTTGGACCTATCCAACTTAAGATCACAGGCAGAAATACAAGACCATGAAACAATCCAAACAAGATGACTAGACAAAATATCTAAAAGAGAGGTTGAACAAGTTTAGATTAATATACAGAGTGATTCACAGCAAATGTAAAAAAACAAGCAAAGATGTTGCAAGTTGCAAATTATTTCCATTGGCATAAAAGTTACAGGGTTGATTAAGGGGTAACGCCACTAAAATTCTAAAATAAAGCGTTTTTTTGCGATTTTTTTTAATGGAAATAAAAGTAAAAGAATGTGATATAGTTTAAAATTTTCCACTATCACAACCGAAAAGTTATTTATAATTAATAAAGAAATAATTTAAAAAAATTTCAAATACTATTTAATACAATAAAAAGGATTTTAATTGATTCTTCCCAGAAATGCTGGGTTTTTCAGTCATATTAATTTGAAAGTCTTGATAAACTTATTAATTTTGACTTTTAAATGCCTTTTTTTATAATATTTCATTATAACTTTAATCATTTTACCTGAAACTGAAGGAAAAAGTGTAATTATAACATAAATTTAAATGTGAATAACTTGTATGAGTAGGTTTATCAAAAAATGATAAAGGACATTTTTTGTAGAACGTTCAGTACCCTACAACAATACGTTTCGGTCATTTAAATCCGTCTATTGGTTTTTAAGAATTCTGAAACTAAAAAATAATTTTTCCCATGTTATTTAAATGGAAATAGAAAATTGTGATGCGTGACCTCTAAATAACAAACGTTCAAATAAAAACGTGGACAAGTTGGTTCTGAAAATTTGGACGTAGGGCGTAGCGTATAGCAAATGAACTTAAATGTCATCTGTCAAAGCGCTATATCGCCGCTATCAATTTGAATATTTTCGTTTTAAAAAGCGTTTAAAATGGTGTTTTCTCAAGAACAAAAAGTGTTTATCATAGAGTCCTACTTTAGAAATGGACGCAAGATTGATGGAATATGGAAGTATTCTATTGAGGAATGTTTCATAGAATTTCAAAATCAATTTCCCGGCGTTGTTGAGTACAAAATTTTTCAAAGTGCAGTTCAGCGTTGTGTTAATGTTTTTCGTGAAACGGGCAGTGTAACAAGAAAAGAAGGAAGCGGCCGACCTAAAAAGCGGACTGAAGAATTAAAAGAAAATGTCCAACAAATAATGGAAAATGCGCCAAGAACTTCTGTACGTGTTTTATCACAAATGGTGGGAGTATCAGTCGGTACCTGCCACACAGTGTTAAAAAAAGATTTGCGTTTGTTCTCCTATCGTTTAACTTGTCAGCAAGAACTTCATGAAGTTGATTTTCCGCGACGGGCTGTATTTTGTGAATGGTTTTTAAACAACTACGGTGAACTTCATAATATCACCTTTTTTTCTGATGAAGCCTGGTTTCATTTAAGTGGTTACGTAAACTCACAGAATATGAGAATGTGGTCTTCTGAAAAACCAGATAACTTTTTTGTCGAGGGCCCTCTACACGCTCAAAAAATTGGAGTTTGGTGTGCTCTCAATCGAAGGAGGATTTATGGACCTATTTTTTTTAATGGTACTCTTACTGCGCAAAGGTATAGAGAAGAAATTATCGCTCCTTTTGTTAACCAGCTGGAAGAAAACGAAATTACAAACTTTTACTTTCAACAAGATGGCGCAAGGGCACATACGGCAGGCGAGACGATGAATATGTTGAGGGAAGTTTTCCAAAATCGACTAATAAGTCTCAATGCTGAACATGAATTTCCACCGAGGTCATGTGATATTACGCCGTGTGATTTCTTTTTGTGGCCTTACCTTAAAAACACTATTTTTGAACTGCCTATTCCTGATTTAAACCATCTGCAGGCTCGACTTATAGACAAGATTCGTGAAATTAACAATACCCCGAGCATCTTAGAAAATGTCTTTAATTCTTTGAGGAACAGGTGTGAAAAGTGCTTGGAACAAGGAGGGGGACACTTTCAGCAGCTGCTTTAATTTATTGTTATAACAAGGAGGGGGACACTTTCCGCAGCTCCTTTAATTGTTTGTTATTGTTATCACGATTATTCTTTAAAATAAAGTTATATAGTCATTAACGTTATTGAAACTGACAGCTGCTATACAGCTCGTTGAGAAATGAGGTTAAGTTGGTCGCTATAAGCTACTCCCTACGTCCAATGTGTCAGAGCCAACTTTGACCACGTTTTTATTTGAACGCTCGTTATTAATATTAAGAGTTCCGATTTTTAGAGGCATTTCTTCTCACTTCCCTGAAACTATTTCAGAGGGGATTTTGAAAAATAAGGTCGATTTTTTTTTTAATCAGCCTAATATACAGGGTGTTCCATTTTAAATTACGCTCCTGAATATCTCGTCAGGGGAGCCACCAATCCGAAAATAACCCTTAACGAAAGTTGTTGGATTCAGAGGAGGACATTGGGTGATGTCCTTCAATTTGACCTTGACGAAAAAGAAGAGCTTTAAGTACCTATCTAAATGTAAACGAATGTATCGATCTAAACGTAAACGAGCTTTAAGTACCTATCTAAACGTAAAATTTTGCACTCTTTCTGAATCCAGAATAAAAAATAGAGGTTCCTATTTAAATATAAAAAATTATATTTGTTCTTCAAATGACCTTGAAGGTCAATGTCAAAGTCAAATTGAAGGTCAGCAACCCCCTGCGAACCCAACAACTTCCGTAAGGTTTATTTGCCAATTGTGGCTTCCCTGACAAGATAATTCAAGTGCGTAATTTAAAATGGGACACCCTGTATGTATATTAGGGTAGATGAACTGTGAGTTAATTGGGTCAAATATTGACACTTTTAAACAGAACGATATCAAGTACAAAATATCAAAAATCCAGACAAATCCACCGGGACCTGAGGATTGTGTGGGGTCCTTTGAAGAAGGAAAAAACTAAAAGTTTTCTCTTAACTTACATGAGTAAGTATGGCTAGAAAAATACATAAGGGATTTTGAAAACAATAATTTGTGTGATTGGCAATAATTTGAAGTAAAAAATTCAGTTTTTGATAAAAAAAAGGGCAATCATCAATAAATAATGTTAAAATCAACTTGTCGAAAATCGCATATGTACTTCTCTTTTAAAGATATAGTCAAAATTTGGAGTGTATAGAATGAAAATTGGAGTTATGCCATTACTGTTACCGTTTTAAAAAATCGTGTTTGTAGAAAAACATCTTTTAAGTTGAAGTACATTAAGCTGTACCCTTTCAGCACGTATCTATTTGCCGCACGTAGTCGTTTCGGAGCAGTCCGAGGTACTTGGAAAAGAGCTGGGAATTTCAAAGAAAAAATTTTGTACAGGCCTAAAACTTTCTTCTACTTATTCTAGAAGGTTCAAGGCATCTTTTAAATCAACAAAAAAAAATATTTTCTGGAAATTATACAGTGGTGTCTTACCCCAGGTTAAAAATCTCCCACATCTCTTCAATAACAAGACGAATGGACGTATCTAAAAAGTTATCGACCAATTGTTATCGAGTTTGAATTAAGCCTGTTCAAGATGCCGATTTTTATTATCATACAGCAGAGAGGCATGTGTTATTGCCACAATTAGGCGAGATATACTGCCGTCCTAATTCAATTTAGCAATCACAAAGTGTTAAGAATGGACGTATATCGAGCCATGCCTGTTTGTAATATTTTACAAGTTAGAGACATAAGTTCCAACCGACACCAAATCCTCCTATAGATCTGTGCTTCGACAATATAACATCAATTTGTTTGTTAATTAAACGATGTAAATTGTTCACTGATTTTCGTTACGTGATAGAATGTCTTCAGGATTGTTAACTTTGTGAATACACATTTCCGTAAATCCATGTGAAAAAAAAAATGAAAAACGTGGATACTGATACTCTATTTTGAATTTTTTACGTTTGCTACGATTCACCCTGTATAAAAGAATAAAAATGTCGGAATGAAGCAATACCTTTAACTTACCTTAAAAAACGACTGAAACGTGTACACGCTCGACTGGCTCATCATGAAAACCCCGATGAAGGTGGACAGACCGCCGAACAAGACGGCGCAACCGATGCTACTCATAGTTTTGACGGCCCTATCTTGCCGCGATCCCGTGTGAACCGTCAAAAAGGTATGACCCACGTGCGTGGCGTAGTCCACACATAACCCGATGGCAAGCTCCAGGCCGATACATGAAACCACGTCGATTGTTAGTCCCCATCGCTGCATGAATCCGCACACATTGACCATTGTGACGAGGACGCAGATGAATATCCAGAAGCAGATCTGCCAGTCCGCTATCAGCAGTATCGTGCACAACATGACGCATAATAGGGCCAGTTGGAGGTTTCTCATGACTTCGATATCGATTAACTGAAGGAAAAGATCGTCGAATAGGTTTTTTTTTAATATTATGAAGTTGACGTACCTCGTCTGTTATCCAAGTTGCGAAAAATTTCGACCAAGTCGTTGCAAATTTATCTCCCGTGGTGAAATTTGCGTTTTCTGCCAAGTCTCTCACGCGATGCATAGCAGGGATCTGGTCCCTGGGATTTTCGAATCTATGGAAATGAAAGTCTATAATGGACATCTGTAACATAAACATTGTTCTTAAAGCAAAAATGTAATTGATAAACGTTTTTCGTTTGGCATTAAAGCATTACCAAAATCTATAATAGTGTTTTTGACATACTTTTATTCTTGGTGTAGGAGCACCACATTCCAAGTCTCCATCGAATATAAAATTTGCTTGGAATTTTGCATATCTTGGACTGTTTAGAAACTTGGACAAAAATAAGTGAAATCTAACGTCGTCCAATGGCTCTTCAAATACGTCTAAAAGAGATATCAAGGGTAAATTTTTCTGCAAATAAAGAGCATGATTTTTTAAATTTTTTAGAAATTCTATTGATATTGAAAATTCAAAAGAATGGTAATTGTAAATATTTCAGAATCAGTAATTAAAATTTTAACATTATTTAATTTATGGGGTGCTAACAAAGTTCATCGACAAAGGGATAAAACTGATTTTTAGACAAAACAATTTATATAAACGCAAATTTGAGATTACAATAATTAAAAAATACATTTTCTAATATATTTCTGAAGACGTTTGATGCAGAATGATGAAACTTGGGCTAATAATTTAAATTTATCTAATTAAAGATAAATATTCACTGAATTCGAATATAAATATGTATAGAACTAAAATCGAAAGAACCTAGAAATTTGACACTACTGAATATTTTAAAAATTCAATTGTTGCTGATTCTTTGTAATAATTCCAGGAAGAAGGTATCTTTCATTTTATTATCTTAACATTACTGTTGACAAAAACTTTACAAAATGTAAACTATCTCTAGAGCTACCCGTTCGTAAAATTTCTTTGCTAGAAATATACAAATAATCATAAGTTTGAAAAAATCAATGGTGTTTAAATTTTTGCATTTTGTTCGAGGTAGCAGGAGGGGCCTTAGAAAAAAATTGTACCAATTGCTTTATTGGACTGTTTATTTATAGTTCTACATGGAAAAAAAAAAAAAAAAATAGTAATGAACTAATTTTGTGAAACAAGTAGTTCTAAAGTGACATTAGCTTTAATGAAAGTTAAAAACGTAACAAATGGACAATAATTCGTCTTTTTGTATAAAATGGCAGATATATTTTCTTTTTAAAACAGGGAGTTACAAAGTAGTCATCGAATTTTCAAAATATCCAGTGGCGTTGAATTTCTGGGGTTTCAGTTAACATAACTCACAATATTTCATACCACAATGGAAGATTATCCTCTTAAAGTTTGTCAATGTATTTAATTAACATGTATTATATTAATTTTCTGGAGAACATATACCACAAAACAGACGAGGAAAAAATTTTGAATTATTTTTTTTGTTAAACTTTCCATATATTCAGAATGTAATGTAACACTAGCAAAATTTTGCATTTCAAAAAATAGCAGTTTAATAAGATTAAATATTATAATTCGAGGGCTTCATAACAAAGGGGCGTATGAACCAAATTATAATTTATAACAGACGTATGTTCATACGCCTCTATGTGATGTTCGGGAGATGTAAGATGGTTGATACACCTAACATAATAACACCAATAAAATTTTAATTAGTGTAAATACCGATACACCTGACTAAGGAACTATACTCCACCCTTTTTGTGGCTTATACGCCCAAAAATACAATTTTCGTGATTTAGGTTCATAGTTCATGTTATGATGACCCTCGATATATACTTAAAATAAGGTTGTAATTTAAATAATTAAGATGCTTAATGTAGATAGATAAATTTTGGCTAGAGGTTTAACTAACAACTATAGAAAAAATTTATTCAGTTCGGACACATATCTGCCAACCAATGATGGAGATACTACAAAACATCACTAAAATCTGTAGCAGAATAAATCGTAAATAACTAGAAAACGATTCATACAAACAGAAAAAGATTACCGAAATTTTCTGTTAAAAATACAATTTTAAATGCAGGGTATTAGAAGTTTGACTGCCTTAATTTTAACAGATGATAGAATACATTAAAATAAATAAAAAAACCTTATATGACATGGGTCCTAAACTCAACCATTTTCGAGACAAAATTATTAAAATCTCCAACAAAGGTTCAATTAATTAAGGAATATTGAAATAACGTGCATTGAATACCATAAAATACAATGATTATCACTTTTTTGAACTTCTTTATGCTTAATTCTAAAAATAATTAGCGTTGTAATAAATTTAAAATTTGATAAAATTCATATCGAGCAATGTGACAAAGGCGCGGCTGTTTGGTATCTGGAATTGGACCGTGTCTGAGTGTTTTTGCGCGAAAATTGGATTCAAAGGTGTTGTGGACATTTTGAGCATACGTTGTAGTTTGTTTTGTATTTGTGCATTTAAAAACTATTAAATTTTTGTTTTTGGTAAGTAAAGTAACTAAATTATTTTTAGTACGTATGATTATTTGGATGAAGTGAACCATTGGGTACTTTAATTACATATTTTTCAAATTCATAATTTGACTAAAAGTTCCTGTTTCAAGAGATTCATAATTACTAAAATTCGAGCTAGAATTTAATCACAACACTATCCTCGTAGTATAAAATACACAGATTTGCCGCGTGCACATGTGGTGTGCATCAGCTGTGTAACATTAGGTTAAGCGCTGTTGTCATGTTGTGATGTAACTCCCCTAAATTAATACACACTGTTTTGAAAACTGTTAATCTACTGAAGTAATAGCAGTCAAACTTCTTACACCCTGTATATTATCTCTACTGTAAATTAAAAAATTGTTGGCATAACAATTTTAAACTTTACTAGAAAATATGATATATTTTATAATATAAAATATAATAAATATAAATGTTTTTTTTTGGTTTTTTCATAATTATGTTTTATTTAAAATTTCCAACAAAAAAATGCTATATTTTTTAGAGTAGCATTGGACTTATTTTCAATTTATTCAAGTATGTCGGACTCATTTTAATTAAAAAGAAATATTAATAAATGGAAATTGACTCGTATTCGAATAAAAAGACATGTTTTTTCGTAGAAATACCAACCAAAATAACACTTATCTAATTTTGAAAATATTAAGTGGCGTCAAAATTATAGGGTTCTTAACGACAATGTTTCCCAAAAACTCTTCCACTGGTTGAAATTTGTTTACCGATTTAGCAAATTTTTGCACATAATTAAGTCATTAAGTCGTTATTTAAATAAATGTGATGTGTTTTCTTTAAATTCAACACCCTGTATCTTGAAAACAAAGCGTTTTTGGACACATGTTTATAATAACTTTCCTTTACTGAATTGTGACGCAGAGAATTAAAGTTTCTCAGAGTATTTCAGTAATACCCTGTATAATTTACCAATGGGATGATTTAATCACAACGCAATAAGAATAATACTGACAATTTGTTAAGACTTACCATGTTTGAAATTGTACAAAACAAAATCCCTGAACGGCTCCACCCAAGACACAACATTAGCCGTGACATCGCTCATATTCTCGAGACGACTCGCAGCGTCTCGGATATTATTCAATTCGTGACTGTAGTCTAGGGCACCCATATAGAAACCTGCGTCAAACCCCTTCTCGGGATAATAAAAGTTTTTTACTTTCAAAAACTCCGCTAAATGCGAACCCGCAGGAATTAACCATTCCGTCTTGAAACGCTGTTCCAATTTCAGCGTGCTCTCTATTCCAAAGCCCACACAAACGACAGTGATTAAAACCACTATTATCTGAAGAAACGTTAAAATTAAAGATACGGCTTCAACAGGTTTTTTTTCCCATACCTTTCCGGGAGTCGTCAAAATGATGTTGGAATAAACGTATTCAAACGTTTTGTTTGAAATTCTCTTCTGGCTGCACTCGTTGGGGACGTAGTTCTCGTGCACAATCCAGGGGAATATCCCGTTCCGTTTACTTTCAACCCTCCTTAGGTCCAAAACAAAACAGGCTACGAAAAACGTAACGGCAAATACAAAAGTCATAAGTACGCCCGCTGCTGCGTAGATGCAAAACGATTTGAGACAAGGAAGTATCTGAAAAACGTACCAAGTTAATTTTGCCGATTCTGCCAGATAAAAATTGTCATAAATGTTATTTCCTTGATCATAATTTGTCAACCGTCTTGACTTTGCAGACTGTTCAAAATTATACAGTATGTAACTTTTTTCTAATTAAACAGATAATCGAATTCTAATTAAACAGATAATCGAATTCGTTATTAAGCTGCACTTAAATTCTTGTCTACACCGTCACTGAGCAGCACCCGAACACGGTTGTATCAGCATGCCTATTGTTATGATTTTAAAAAAAAATATTTTTTTTGGATTTACTTGGATTCGAAGTTACATGCTGTATAACATCCTACATCTGAAACAAAACTGTATAGCTCTATTACCGTTGAGGATCCAATAAGGAAGGCTATCACGTCCGTGAAAGATGTTATCGTAATCGAAACACCAGCATGCTTAAGCATTAATCCGATCTTTTCAGGTAGAGGCAAATTTTTTTCTTCCTCGGTTAACTCGTCCCAACATGAAAGTATCACGAACATATCGTCCACCCCTTAAATAAAATTTAAGGTATATTTTCCTAAAAAATCATCCGTTGCGGTTAACGTTACCCAATCCCATCAAGAGAAAAGGCAAGGAAGTGTGCACTGGTCCGTAGTGAACTCCAAATAAAGAACACAGACCGGCTCCAACTATGAAGGCCATTCCTATAGTCAACATCCCGACAGATCCTAGAACAACCTGTCGTCATGAGTTTATTTTAATTTAATGGAATATCAAACCGAGTATTTGAGTTACCGTACCCTTGCTTCGAGCCAGTTGAATTTCGATATGACCAGTTGGACATATATCACCATTATAACAATGCCGATGCAGAGCAGGTCCATGTCTTGGAACATTGCAGCATTACTGATATCTCCAAAACTAGGCAACAGTTAAAAAATCTTAATAACTTTTCTGTTTCTAATTTTGTAACGTTTACCTCTTTCCTGAATAGTAGTAAGTGTTGTTTAAGGTTTTAGAAACGTTTTCCATGACTTGTAAAAATGCGTTTTCCCAGTCAAGAACTTCTTCGGATGCCTAAAATATAATGATTGACTGTATTTAGGGTGTATAAGGCCAGACATTTTTTTATCACGATAAAACCCTATGAAATTGGTTCCAAAGATTAAAAATTTGTGGGAAAGTGACGTCACGTTCCTTTGCGGCAATATCCAATCAACGAAAACAATTTTGCCGAAAGATCTAGTGGCCTGTTCTTCCGTGGCCGCACATCTCATGAATAAAACTAATGTTCAGTAATTTCAAAACAATAAATTTGAAGAAGAAAGGCCACAATCAACACATTTAATCATTTCTTAAAATACATTTGCTTTAAACAGCTCATCTTTTTAAAAATGTGTTTTTTTCATAAATCCAACTTTTCTAAAAAACTTGAAGAGATCAAAAAATTAGTAAATAAGTGGGGCTTTTTAGACATATTTTTTAAAAGGAAAAAATTTTATAGAAAAAAATTATAAGAAAAAATGTCAGAGGTTGATTATTTCAAAAATTTCAAAATGTCAAAAAGTGTAGTTTTTTTGACAGATAATGTTCACTAAGTTTCTTTAACTTGATATTACATGGAAGATAAAAAAGAGAAACAATTTTTGTTTGAAATTTTTGGAGGGATGTAACTTTTCAGGGTTTTTTTCAAAAAATTTTATACCAAAGACCCCTATTAATTTTCATCAGAGAATCGGCCTTTACATTTTTTCGGTGTTATTTAGATACACCCTGTATAATCTCCTAGTCGGGAATGAGCCGTTTTGGCCCTGGAACAATTTTTGTCCAAAAACGTAATGTTATTATACTAGGTATTTCATTTTTGTTGTTACATTTTGATAACTTCAAATAGCTATTACTTTGTTAACTTAAATTGTATTTTTTTACTTTGTTGTATGCAGATTAAAATTTCCTTTGAAGCCATATAAGTATTGTTAGAGTTGCCGTTACTACTTTTGGAGATGTTTGAAATTTTCTATTTTTTGGATAGTTTTTCTCGTATCAGACCTGTTGTCAAATTGGCCATGGCCAGAAACACACCAAAAACAATTGAAATAACATGACATTTATTGAAATAACATGTGAAGAATTTGCTGCTTTTTTCCATAAATAACAAACGAATTAAAATAATCCTGATTAGTATAATTTAAACGATACCCAGGCATTTTTATTTAAATTTAGATACAACACAAACACAAACTATTTAGATACAACAATAATTTGACTAACTCCTAAGTATAGGGAATATTTAATAAAGTGACCCTCAAATTTCACGTAGAATCCGAAAATGCAATAATATATAGGGTGTCCCATTTAAAATAAAGAAGTTGGTGTCGACTTCCGGTATAACCGGAAGTGCTGGAGAGTTCTAGATATTTTAGTTGTGTTCGGCCCAGGGACACTACCATGTTGCCAAATTTTCAAATTATTCAGAGCAGTACTTTCCTAGATATCGATCGATGGGACACCCTGTACACTCTTCGAACGTAAATTGGTCCATTTCAACAACTTAGAAGCAAAATTTCGTTGCAAACAAATCAAATGTGAAACACTCAATTAGGTCCGATCATTTACTACGTGACGGCTCTGTTCATTTATTTCATTATTCCTCACGACGCGACGTGACACAGATGACATTGCATAGCTAGATTAGATGCGTGATGCGTGCAATAGAGCTTTTATCACACAGTTGTGGATAAAATCAATTTTTACGAACATCGTCTCTAGGATAATGCATAAGACGAGATAAACGTGTTTATTTTGTTCAGGTTGAAATAAATTTAAAAATACATTATAGTTTATAGCCCATATAGCATTTTTTATTTCTTACACTTCTGAAGTTTCATTTGTGCAAAAAAATTAACATCCTGTGTATTATGACGATACAGATCGCGATTAATAATAACTTTATAATTAATAACTGTGTCATTGAAGAAATTAATGTTTCAAGGTTTTTTATTACGTATGTTAATATTAATTTGCTGGGTTAAATTCCAAAATATTCCTACAAACGACAACATTGTAATAAAAAAATATGTAGGTACTACTAAATTATATTACCTACATTTTATAGTTAGTCAAAACAGGATTTCCCACACAAATTTAATTATTAGTCGTGCATTTTAATGACTACTGTTCACTATAATACTTCTATTAAAATATACATATCTATAGCTATTAATTAAAATAAAATACACTACAATACATTTAATGAGTATGACATAGGATATGTCACTAAATTACAATATTCTACAAGTCTCTACGATTTTAACTTCGTACAAGTACAAATTATATACCGATAATTTTCTTCAAACAAACTACATAGTTAGTTTTACGACAATACTCAAATTCCGTTATACTCCAGTCGAATTAGACATTTTATTGCACTTAATTACGGGGAAGGGTATGTCGAATGATATAATATCAAAAAATTAACTCGAAACTCGAAAGAAGTGGCACTAAGTTGACAAATTGTAAATAAGTGGCTTTAAGTGTTTTTTCACTTTTTTACTGTCACCGAAAATCTAGACGACCTATCGGAAAATTTGTCATTGTTGCAGGCAATTAAATTACCTGCAATTATTTAAGGTATCTAAAGTCATATTTCACCAATTTGTTAACTGTAAAGGTAAGGTAGGTAAGGTAAAGGTAAACGTTAATTTTAGAAGTTATTAGCGTAGATATAGGTCCTAATTGATCCAAAGAAACGTATCGAAAAAGATACATTTCAAAAAGTTGAAATTAAGTTGCCCTTTACAACTAACACAATAGGACGTGCCAAACAGCGTCATAAACAAATTTTCCCAAGGTCAGGCAAAAAACTGCTCGGGAATTCGCTCTTTTTGGGCAATAAAAAAGTGAAAAAACACGTAAATTTGCCACTTATTTGCAATTTGTCAAATTAGCGTCACTTCTTTCGTGTTACTTTTTTGATATTATCATTCTTCCGTCATAAAGTGCAATAAAATGTCTACTAATAATTTTACAGTCACTATAGACATGAAATAGACTGTTTTGGGGAAAAAATACTATTAGAAGTTTCTCTGCGGAATATTGTTCGGAAACGTGTTATAAACCCAATATCAAAAATCAACTCGAGACTAGTTGGGAAACTTTATTTAAATAATAGTCAAAGTTATGGAAAATTGGTTTTTTGACTCGGGTAAAAAACTGATATTCATAGCGAAAAAAGGTTTATACAAAAAAGGTAGGTATTAAATAAACCTGTAAAATGAGACAAGTCCGATTAAATTCCGATAATTTGTTTATCCGCCAGAGCTCAAATATGGTCGAAAATGGCCGTTTTTTTCAATTGCGAATAATTAATGCAATTTTCATCGCAGACACTTGTAATTTAGGATTTTTTAAGCTCTTTTTTAAGTGGTAAAAATTTCAGCTCGAAAGCCTAATTAGTTTGGCGTTGGCGGAATTTGTTATCTAAGAAGATACTGTTTTCAATTATTCATTTTTCCCAAGCTCACAGGCGTCGTAGAGTTTCGAGCATTAGGTGCTTTTGTACCTAAATAGTTGTATTGACATATGCACTTACTGAGAATATAATTTTTCTAATTTAATTTATTTAAAAATGACAGCATCTTTTTAGATAACAAATTACAAATGTGTGCGAAGAAAATTGCATTGATTATTAGCAATTGAAAAAAACGACCATTTTCGAGCTCACGCATAAACAAATTATCGGAATTTAATCGGACTTGTCTTGTCTTGTCTCATTTAACAGGTTTATTTAATATCTACCTTTTTTTTATAAACCTTTTTTCGCTAGGAATAACTTTTATTACGCGAGTCAAAAAAACACTTTTCCATATCTTTGACCATTGTTTAAATAAAGTTTCTCAACTAGTCTCGAGTTGATTTTTTGATACCTATTTTGTTTATAAAACGTTTCCGAACAATATTCCGCAGAGAAACTTCTAATAGTATTTTTTCCCGAAAAATAGCTATAATGACTGGACTATAATAAATTTCGGAGATTTTAAAACTTATTTCAGGTTTTTATGGTACATTTACTTGGCCATGACAACATGACATGACGAATTATTTTGTGATGTTCCTATAATTTTATGTTTGAATTGTTTTGTCAAGGCTAACTTAAATATAATAATAAAAATTAAAATTTTCTGCTAACTTAAAAGCTAAAATATCATCAGCATCTAATCATTGTAGGTAGGTAATAGGTTAGGTAATTTCGAAAATTACGAAAACAAAATAATTTTTCATAAAAATGATTTTTGGATTCAATTACCCGCATTTTACACATGCTTATATAGATTATCCCATAGATAAAATAAGAATAAGCAATAAGTTCACAGATTACGATTATCAAGAAAGATAAAATATTTTAATTGTACTCGGATTGCCTACAATAATTAAAAATGTCAAATTTTATATGAGCCGTACTTACCCAATCTGCCGTGCCGGCATAATTGCCGGTTTTATCCATGTCGACGGCCGAAAAATTTAAGCTCAGAAACCAAAAATTCTGCAAAGCTTTAGCTCCTACGATGTAACCGGATTCATTTCTGATAACCTCTCCCAGAAGATCGTCTATGCTTTTTAATTTTCCGTACATAGTACTACAAAAAATATACCATAAAAGAAAGAAGACTAGATTATAAAACACAGAACTTACTTTTTATCGTAACTATTAATAGCCCTAATAATATCATCCTTTGTAAGAGATTCGATATCTTCTTTATTGAAATTCCACAATTCTAGAATGCTTTTCGTGTAGCACTCTTTTCTCATAGATTCTATAAAGCTGCAATACAAAGCAGGATCCATATTCATGCTAGGATCCTGCCTTGTATCATTGATCTCTGTTTCAAGCATTCTTAACATTCCTTTGTCTACTTTGGGTATCCTGCAACAAGAATGTGTTGTTTTCCTTTCGTAGTCTTTCCTCTTTATATCTTTCTCACTTACTCAAAACAAACATTGTGTAACTTCAAGAAGTTGTCGCTTTCTACGTCCCTAACTTGTCTATCAATCTCAGCTAGCTAAAATAATACAAATATTGATATTTCTAAGCATAGTCCCCTTTAATCGGTTTTGTAAAAACTGAAAACAAGCATTTTTCCAGAGCGCTAGTCCATTCTCTATGACATCAAAATGTTAAAATTATAAATAAGAAAAACAGATATTTAACTGGACTGTGTTTTATTTAAAATTGCTAATTAATAGCCACTTAATGTTGCTTTATTTGTAGAAATTAATAACAGTGTCTAGTTAGTACCTACCATTTGGACTTAATTACTGAAAAATAAATTAAATAATCAGTTGCAATTACATGATAAACTCCCTGTTTAATTGATTTAATGTATCAATTAAGGCCATAAAAATTTCCAATACTGGATCTCTATTTAATAGATGTCGCATCTAGTGACATCATTTCAGCTATAATTTCTTTCAATCATGACATCCAGATTATAAACAGAAATCAGATCAGCTAATTGGCTGAATTTGAAAACCCGCCTTAATTTTTTAAAAACCAATCAACCTGAAAGTCGTGGACGAAAGAATTAACCTGTATTATTTTGCCCTGTATGAATATCTGTCAAAACACTAGTGTAATTTCAATTTCAGAAACGACGTGACCTATCTATAATTAATTACCTACCAATAACAATAATTAAACTGATAATTAAATTTTCAAAGCCAACTATAGTCTGTTTAGAAATGAAAGAGAGTAATAAAAGCTTATTATGTATGCAAATCATAAATAAATGTAGTACTGGTGCTTATATTCAATATTTTTATATTATGTATTATCGGTATAGACGAGGTGTACTTTTAAAAAAACTTTGTGTGACCGGGTTGTACTAAACTGTAGCAGGTAGCTAAAATTTAATCCCCGACAATCCGTCTTTGTCTATGCCGCTTCAATTTCTCGGTCCATTTCTCTTATAAGTAAACAATATAAAAACAGCATTTCAAAACATGAGGCTACTTTAAGCATCATAACCGGGTTAAGAGGGTTTTTAGTAATTCAAATAAAATTATTCAATATTATTATCAAAATATTTATTTAAATTTAATGAATATATTTTTATTCCACACAAAAATATATGTATTTTGAAAATTCAAATTATGGTGAGTAAATGTAGTGTTGTATAAATGTACAATAAAGAAAATAAAAAAGTAGGTATATTAAAATTCATCCTCTGAATATTCTGATGAATTATCTTCGTCTCCTAGATTGATAACGATAGGTTCCACAGTAACGTCAATTAAATTATCGAGTTCCCACATTTTCTCCTCTTCTTTTTGTACATGATGTATACATCTTTGCCAGTTATCTGCAGTTACTCGTTCCAAGGAATTTTTTAACAAATTTTTCACGTCACTTAATTTAAACGTCGTATTATTTCGCGCTACATCTCCTTTTACCTGCGCCCAGACTAATTCGATTGGGTTAAGTTCACAGTGATAAGGTGGTAACCTTAGTACCGTTATTTGGCGATTTGTTGCCATTTCATTGATAACATATTTTTTCTGATCTTTATTAAGATTGACAAGTGTCAAAAGTTCCTTTTTCACCATATTTGTTTCAAAAGAAATGTTTTTCCGGATAACTCTCGTAAGACGGCACATAATTTGCTTCTACCGATTTTTGGCAAATCGTTGTCCTCTGAAAGTTCACTGGCGTTGGTATTTCTTTTTTAAAATAAAATAATAATAAAATGTACTTTTCTGCGAATGACATTTTTGAAGAAATCATCTATAACGACTTTTGACCTCCCTGTAGATGATTTTGGGGGATTTACAGTATCTTGTTCATTTTTTGTTACCTTTAAAAGTCTGTAGATAGTCGATTTTCCAATCCCAGTCATTTTGGAACACTTTTCCACGATGTCGTCAACACTGTTGGTAGGATTTTGGTGTTTCAATGCATTAAATACATTTAATATAATAATCTTCTCATTCTGAGACAGCGCACATCTTTTTACGCGTTTAGCAAGTACGTAATCTGATAAGCTAGACATTTTACCCAAACAATGTTATTTCCACTGGCACAATAGTCACTAAACACAAGTTGAATTTTACTCCACTGCACTAGCACGTCTTCTGAGTCTAGAGCTGAATATACTCTAAAACTGGATTGATCTGTCACAATACACTGGCTCCTGCCCTATCATGTATCCAGTAAAATATACTAATGTACACCCATTACCTGTTAGCATTAGTGTTACCCGATAATTACCTGAAACGAAATATTACCACGCCCATGGCCGGTTCTTATCTCGGGGTTTTATTACTCTCTTTCATTTCCAAACAGACTATAACTGCTAACTTAGCGATTATCTGACAAAAACCCACCTTTCCTATAATACTGGGTGTTAATACGTCATCGGCAACAATCATAACGCCCTCTTCACGGTATCCCTTTTGTAAAGATTTCATCAACCATTCCGAATCACGTATGAACGTCGTGTGCGGGGGTACCCAGAGCTTCAAAGGGTTTTTTTCTTGTTGGAAACGCAGAAATCCAAACGCACTCAGAAATACTACGATCCAACATATCAGAATAGTTTTTTTTGGCTTGTTACCGATAAGTACCCCCAATCTATAAAAATATGAAAAAAAATTAAGCAAAATTTTACTTGGGCTCTCCATTTTGTCTTATACTTAAAATTTATTTTTGAGTGTTTTGAATCTATTCTAAAAATCAGCTTCAAGGTATTACAACTTGAAATTCTGTGTTTCGGAAATTATGCATTTTTCGACCCATACAATTCAGCATATAATAAAAACGGATATGGGAATTTTAGAAGAAGTTAGTGACATCTAATGGCGGCAACACGTAAATAAAGATTACCACAGGAATTATTAAAAAAATTCCAGGAAAAATCGAGAAAATCCCTTACATTTCCACATCTATGGAATTCTTTGATTAATTCCAGGTTTTCCAGATTAAAACACATCAATCACCCTTTTTGTTTTTGGTAAAAATTAAAATAAATACTAAAAAACGAGCTATTCATTCATCTAAAATTCTTTCTGCAAAGATTTTAGGTACCAATTTGAATTATGTAATAATGTCTACGGAAATTGTTCGTTACGAACCTGTTTGGTTATTTGCCAAAGAAAAAAATGGTTTATCTAAAAATTGTAAGTCGCATAAATATTTACTTACCTGTAAAAGAACCACTCTGTAGACGTCACTACACTGTATGTAAACCTTTGAAAGAAATGAAAACATTTAAAATTTCGCTTCTTTGTGCTCTGTATAGCCATAATTCTTTTACTTTGTTTACATTCGATATCATTGTACACATCGCACCATGATGATAATTCAAACCCTATTTATTGTTCATAGACAACCTCGCGTAGAAATATATTATTCGGCGACTACAAAAATAGAAACGAACATAACCTCAGAACTTAGCACGTCCCTTTTCGTTGCTCGATTGGTAGCGTCTGCTTATTCTGCAATCTGCATCTGTTTTTTGTAGCAGTTTGTTTTTCACCTTTGCATCCTGCGATTCCGTTACGCAATTAAGGGAGGCCAACTAGATTTTTCACTGTTCATATTCAGAATAGAGCATTCGCCTCTAATGCATTTATAATGTGACAACGCAAAACGCAATCTGTTATCTAATTATTAGTAATTACAGGGTGAGTCATTAATGATGAGCATATCCATTCTGAACGAATTTTGATTATATTCCTAGCATGGGTTGTTAATTTTGTACTACAAAAAATGCAATAAATTTAGAACATAGCAAACAAACCAGATATCAAAGACAATAATTTATCTTAAATAAAATTTGCTTTTAAATTTTATCAAACAAGACTATAAATTAGAAATACATTTGTATTAGTATTAATTTATAAATAAATGAACAATACTGGATGTTTGTTTTCAAATTAAAATATTATGTTTGTACATATATGTAGTTACTTGGAAAAGTTATTGCTTACGATTATGTATTTTAATATTTTCTTGTTTTTATAAATAACAAAGAAATTGATTATCATCGCTATTACTTCATACATATTCCAAGGTTCAAGGTTTACATTTGTTACCTCATGTTTCATCTTTATTAAATTTTAATAAATCTATACATACAGGGTGTCCCCGAAATATATGGCAAAATTTTAACCACATATAACTCATCAAAAGTGTCAACTTTTGTCTAATATTTTTTTAAAAAGTTCTTGGGTTTAAGGTAGGTAATGTACTTTTTTAAGGTAATAAATAAAAGGGTGCAGAATGAATTCGGTTACTATTGAAAAATAATATTTATTACAAACTAGTAAAGTAAAAAATAAACTTGTTACTCACCAAAAAGGAATCAGCATTGTTATTGCAGCAGGTTCACACTTATTTTACTAAATAAAGTTACAACAAATGTTCAAAATGTCCTCCGTTGCTGTCAAGGATTAATTGTACATAGCATTGACTTTTTTTCACTCTACTAGATTATTGTAATTATTCTGGTGGGATTTTCTATTCACTATTGTAGTTGTTGTAGTTCCTCAATGTATTAATTGCTGTGGAATATTTGTTTTAAAGACCCTATAAATAAAAGTCACATGGAATTGAGTCCAGTGAACGGGCCGGCCATGATCAGAAGAGAAAACATTTTGAAATTTATTAGTTACTGGGTATGATTTTATTGTTGGAAAGTCTTGGGAATGATAATAGGAGAGGCGTCTCATCTCGTGGGTCATGAAAAAAGTATAGCGTCATTGTTTTTATCAACAAATAGGTCAAAAATTCGTCATTTTTCGTTCTTGTAAAAAAAAACTATTAATCTTAGCAAAAAATGTTCAACAGACGATTTGATCTAGAGAAACTCATCTTTAAAATAAGACTTTATAAGTTAAAATTGCTTTATAAACAAAAATTTATTGCAAAATTAAACAGAAAAAGTGCGTTTTCTTTAATTGTTAATAACTTTGTAAATAATTAATAAAATCTTACCAAACTTTCCCAAAATGTGAGTTTTTATATCCTTAAGAGATGAGCTCGATCGGTCAAATAGTTTTTGCAAAATTTCATTTATTTTTCATTTTTGCAAAAAGGCCCATTTTTCAAATGGCTATTCCGGGGGCAGGGTTATGACTAAGTTTCTCTAGATCAAATCGTCTGTTAAACATTTTTTACAATAACGTGTAGAACGAAAAATGACGAATTTTTGACCTATTTGTTGATAAAAAAACAATGACACTATACTTTTTTCATGACCCACGAGATGAGACACCTCTTGTATTATTATTCCCGAGACTTTCCAACAATAAAATCACGCCCAGTAATTTTCACCATTTCTCGATGATTTTTCACCTTTATTTCTTGGTCTACTAAGGAACATGAACAAATCTGCCCCTATCTGGTATGCGACGATTCGAGAAACAGTCCATATAAATCCTACGAGTCCCCATGCACTTCATCGTTAACATCCGGTGTGATGCACACCTTTTTTTTCAAAAACCTTTTAGTTTTTGAGATGTTTTAATAGGTTAAGTTTTTGAATTTATTTCTGAAATACCCTAGAAATGATGAGAACTCAAACGGTATATGTCTGGTGGTTCTATTGACGAATGATGATTATTAAATATTGCAGATATAATTCAATACTGATGAGGACATTAGTTTGCAGAGTAGTCAGTTAAAAAAAATTCCCATAAACTTGAATCTAGAAGAGCTTGTTTCTGAGACAGCTAAATGCCGGAAAACATTTTTTTAAAAGCATTCAAAATGCCTAAAGATAAACAAACCAAAAATTACACAGGTATTTCACTTATTATCTAATGTAAGATAAAACGATAAATTCAGGAGGGGGATTTCAAACTTGGAGGAGAGGCTAGATATCATTTTATTGAATTAGAACTTTAAAATTTTTTTTGGACAAAAAAATGTCTTACTATTTAATTGTTCCCGAAAAATTATAAAAATTCTGTTTTATTCACCCAAAAGACTATCAAATTTAAATTATTCGTACTTGAAAATCGATAATTTTAAATTGAAATCAATCTTTGCGTAAAGTTTTACTGTTTTCTAAAGCTTAAAGAGGGAAATACCAATGTAAATTTTTGTTTATCTTGAGGCGTTCTAAAAATTTCAAGAAACATTTTCAGGAATTTAAACACTTTATCTCATGCTAAGCGTTTCCTGATACATGTCCATAACTTTTTTCATATTTTGAACAGTTCTAACAGATAAATTAGACTTAGGTAATTTTGGGACACCCTGTATAATTCAAAACTTTTTTGCAACTTTTTTATAAATTCACGAAATACGAAAGGAGGGGTTAAATAATATAATATTTTTTACAAATACCTATATTACAAAACAAAACAAAAGAATGATACAAAATGTACAATGTTCAAAATAACATTACGCACCACTCATCTCATTCGTTACTCTTAGTCTAGGTGTCTATTTTATAAAAGTACAAAAAATCCCGAAAATAGTCGCGAAAAATATAGGGATTTGTTATGTATTCAGTTTACAAAACTAATTCTATTTTTAAGACTGATTTTTTACAAAAAAGAATTCCATTATTTGCTTTAACGTAAAGAGAGTAAAACTAAAACAGATTTGCAACTATTTACAACTTCTTTCTACACTAGTATGGCTTGAGTTACTGGCAACTCGAGTAACTTTATATTAAAATGATATTTGTATTAAGGTTAGTTGTTATCCCTGAGTTTAACTAAATCTATGTCATTCTAGTCGCCTCCACTGTCAGTGGCTCTAGGTTTTCGGTCTAAACATGTCTTTTTTTTTAATTTTTCTTTCGTTATTCAGAAATTTCCCAAATTTTTTTCCAATAATAAGTTTTGAAAACATGAATTTTTCCTTAATTTTGTATGCAAATCAAAATGTCATCTAAATTCTATTATTAATAAAAAAAAAATTAAGTACAAAATCAATTGTAAGCAAAGTAAGTTTTTACCTGTTCATAACTTTTTATTTTGAATAACCTTAATGTCACAACTTAGTAATATAAATAACAATTATCCAAATTCCAAATTGTAAAAAATGGCAATAAAGAGAAAAAAGTTAAGAGCAATTTAGTATCCTCCACTCGGGCAGTTCTTAATTGTACAGAAGCAATATTTTTTAAAACCCATACCTTTGATTTTTTCCAACACAACAATAATACCTCGTTTTAAAAAGAACTTCCGTATCTGTCAAAATTAATAAATACATAATACATTTGCTTAGGTGTATCAAGTAAAAAATAAGAAAAATATAGCAAGTTATTAAATCTTTGATTAAATTTTCAATTTAATAAAAACTTCAAGATTGAAATATAAACGATAATTAATTTTTTGGTATCCTGTTCATCAAAAAAAAAATAGACTAAGAATACGTTATAACTTCATCAATAGAACTTGACTAGAACATAAAAGTACAAAAAATATTTTGTACACAACCCTCTTTACAATTATAATATATAACATATATTGCAATATTTATAAATATTGAGCAAAATCGTATAATCCTTAATGTTATAAAAAATGGTAGTTTAATATTGCGTGTTGCTTTTTAAACAATATCTTGAAGGAAGATATAAGCAAATCTAAAGTTATTTACGTCTGTTATTTTACATTCTGATATTGAAATCATCCACTTAAAAAATATGGCAGTGATATAGCATAATTAGGGTGAACACAAACACTAATATCAGTAGTAAATAGATGTCCCATATCCAGAACAAAAAGGTCAAGATAAATTTAAAATTGTGCATAGATTAATTTAGTTAATGTTTTGTAAACATATTTTACAGAAGTCTGAAGAACTAAATAAAAAAGATCGTAAATATACAGATGTACCAGACATAAATGTTACAATTTTAATCATGCATTAAAGGCAACAAATTTTATTTAATAATAATTTTGTTCGAAAACCTGGTCTTTTAATATAATTTTTTAAAACTATTTTGTTATGAACAAAAAAAAAGCACAGAAATGGGAACTAATTGGTACTAGTATTTACCATTATAAAAAGACTAGGAAATATTATATTTCCGTGAACTAAAATCGATTCACTTGGCCTATAATGTCACATGGATAGTGATTAATAAAATGTATGCTAATAGTTTATGGTTACGTGTCAAATAAAAAATGGTCTTCAAATCTAAATAATTTCATACCTTCAGTATTATCAACATTGTTCGATAATTCTTGTGCAACTTTTTCAGGATCTTTCTTGGATTCTTTACTTTAGCAAAAATTGTACCACTGCCTTACCAATCATTTGGCGATTCTTATTTTTTTTGCAACTTCTGAAGATTACGAATAATCCGATGTTTTAAAATGCCAAAAACAAATCCAATACATTTTTGGTAAATGATATATTTACACAGTCTGGCTATCAAGTTTTAAGGAGGTTTATCTAATATGGAATTGACAAATATTCATAAAAAATTAATATAAGCTTATTAATTTGAAGAAAATCCTCAAAAAAAAACTATGATAGTTTGGATACCTAAGAGACGAGATATTAATAAAATAATTTTTAATAATTTAGTATGAAATCTTATGAGAATGCAGATTTTTTTGGTCTTTCCACTTAGAATGCGCAACAATTGACGAACAGTTTCCACATCAACTTGTATAAATAGGAAACCGATATCTAAGGAACCATATGACAGCTCGTAGAAATCGATTAGGGACTTGTAAGATACATAATTTATAATAATTCTCCTTCAAACCGCTGTCATCGACTAACTTAACCTCCATAAGCGTGATAGCGGCAACGCCCGCCGCGGTTCTCGACGTAGCGTATTATTTGAATTCGCAGGTGTACCATGATATAAATTTCAAGCTTAGGCATCCAAACAAACAGAATGATCGAACGTGAGTGAGTGAACGCCGAGCCGCTGCCATCCAAGTGCAACGTTGCCAAATCTAAAGACTTACCACTTTAGTCACTACAGAAACTTTCATTTGACTTTAGACGTACCCAATAAACCTCCTTAAGGCTAATTTTATTGTAACGAACTGTGTGACGCCATTTATGTGTGGACACCGGAACTACGTACTGGTAGGCCTTCCGAGTGATCAAACAAAATTTTATCAGTATAAGTGTATTTACTACGAAGTTATAACGTTTGCGTGAAGCAAGTTTTTGATACTTGTCAAACAGAGACTGAACATAAGAAAAATTAATTGACTGTACGAATACTGAATCTGAAATTAGTTTTGTTTGTGATTTTTTTAATTGAAAAAAATATTTAATTAATTTTCAGCTATCTCGAAATGACAGGAATTGGTAAAATTTCATAAAAATGTAAGACTCGCATAAAGTAAATAATTACTAAAAATATTTTACAGTAATTCATTCATTATTTTATAATAACAATATCACGTTAATCACTACACTATGTGGGCGAACAAAATTATAAAGCTAACCCTGGAAACTTGTGACGTTAACCGAAAAATGGCATACATATTTACTTTTTATATATTCCTTTTTTTTACTTACCTAAAGAAGGAAACTTTTCGCTTCTCTTCACCAACTCGATCACTTCTATTTATACAATGTTTTACAATACACTTGCCCATGATAAAACGTCTAATTATCGAAATCACAGTGATGTGTACACGTCAAATGCTAGGACACGACTGAGCGCTGGGCTTGAAATCAGGCTCCAAAGTGTTTTCACCAAAGTCGCTCTATAAGCCAGTCTAGGTGGTCTGTGGACATGCACAATATCATATCTCTCAATCTCTGTGTCATGAGTATTTATTATCACGATTGGTGAAAAGTTTGAAGTGAAGTATCCCATAAAATATTTGCATACATTGTTTATTTTTTATATCCATAGGCAGCTAGACAGCGTTATTTTAATGGACAATTAATACTGGATAAAAACGTGCTTTCAAAAAACTTTATAAAATAAAATTTGTTGCTTCTGGTAGACATGTGGTTAAAATTTTGGCAATTATTTCTGGGGCACCTTGTATAATAATATCACACCAATAGACCATACAAATGCTTATGTAATTATCAAACAAATTAAACTAGTCGAATATGTAAGAAATACTACTGATCATTTTTTATATTTACTTGTCTTTTTTTATTTTTCCATTATTGCTTTTTTACCATTCGTACTTTACATTTCATATCACCACTTCCCATTTTTATGGTAACACTCCTTAAAAATGGTAATTTAGTTCTGCCAGATTTACGTTTTCACTAAAAAAATTGTCGATAAATGACAATATTACATTTTCTCCTTCAATCTACCCCTAATATTTAGATTTCATCTTCAAGCGCATCGTTCACATTCGCATTTTCTAAATACAAATCCGTCAAGAATCTTAATATCCGTAACTATACACGTCAAACTTGCTTTACAATCACTCACATCTCTACTGATTACTCATTTTTTTTTGTTTGTTAAACTAAGTAGAACACAAATTTAACTTATCTCGATGATTTGTCAATGCAAGTCAAGAAGTCTAGTTATGCTAAAGGTGGGATCCAGAACGCTATTTCAGCTAGGTTTGGATGAATTGTGATGGTGGATATCCGGGTCCCTATCTGGGCGATCCCTCCGAATTACCATCTGAAAGCACATCAAACGCCTTATATCGATTACCTGAACCCTTATTTTTAATTGTTATGGAATATTTTACAATTAATTACCCTTAGTAGGTACTCGTGTTGAACAATTATGCAGGGTGTCTGGAAGTTTTGGGAGTGTCTTTCCTAATTATATTTCAAAAACTCAATAATAATGGAGTTTTTTAAACCAACTGTAGGAAATTAACAAAATGACAGAGAACGACAGGGCTGTGCAAAATAATTTTGTAAAAACACAATTGTTTTTGTATGAATTTTCAACGTGGTATTTTAAAATCGTCATATTTTTATGCCAATGTAGACGAAGCAACGAATTCAAAGAAAAACAAAACTGTTTTTTAAAAAATTAATACTTTTGCATGATACATTACTAATTGTAAGCAAATTTAATTAATTTCCTGAAATAATTATTTTTGCAAAGTGAGAAGATAAAAAAGCAAATTAACAAAATAATTAGAAGTTAAAAAAGCTTTAAATATTGTAAAACCTATGAGAACATATTATTACCAAACAAAAGTACGAAAAGAAATGGATATCTAGAGAACCTCTCATAAAATTTGTTTTCTTCGGTATTAAATCAGGATTTATATAAAAAAAAAAAATTGTAATTGAAATTGAGTAACTAAAATTATTTTTAGAAAATTTTGAATTATGCAAACTGGTAGCAAACAATGAAGTAAATCATCATTTAAATTACGTTTGAAAATGCACTAAAAACTTTTAGATACATAGGATGTTTCAAAATAATATACCACAAAGCCTAGAGAACTAGTAGAATAAAAAAAATTTGATTTTTTTGTGTGAACATATAGGTCTATTGTAAGTGATTTCAAGAAAAAAGGTGTTAGAAATTTATAAAATGAAATACAGTGAAAATTGGTTATAACAACTGCTTTATACGACATATTGGATATAACGGAATTTGGAAGTCCCGATTTAATCCTATAGAAATACCATATTAAAAAGACTGTTTTCAACGACACCGTTTACAACGACATTCCGGATTTAGCGACGCAATTTATATACATTTACCATAGAATCTGTCGGTTATAATGACCAATACGGCCTTAAAACCAATGCACCGCTCTACCGCACGCCTCGCCGGCATTCACGCTTTTGACACCGGTTACTACGTCTATTAATTACCACTTTCTATCAAGATGTCGAAGAGGAAATTGTTTAATAAAGAAGAAAAATCACATACAAGGTGTTTATAAATAAGTGCGAAATATTTTATCAGGTGGCTGCTGAAGTTATTTTGTGAAAAAATTCATAGTTCATATAATATTCATAGTTCATATAAACATAGGTCGAAATATGCCTCATTTCCGAGATAGTGTTTAAATTTTAATTTTTAATTTATTTTTATTCCTTATTTCAGAATTTTAAAGATGGACTCGAAATTAGAAAAACACTTTGGAAGGATTACTTGCACCAGTGGTGTTCGTGCGAGAATGCCACAACCTTTTTTAATAAAAAAAATGCTACGCCACTGACTTTTTCGTGTTGATATTTTTTTAGAAATCCGCCATTAATTCTGAATGAAATTGGTCTTTTCAATTTTTTTCGTAGGATGCACCGTTTTTGAGGAAAAAAATTGAACATATTTTATTGTAGGTTTTGTTAATGTTTTATTTAAAGGTGCAAGTAGAAATATTCGGATCACCCCAGAAAATGTACATTTATACCTCCAAAGCATTTTTCACATTTCGAGTCAGTATCTTTAAACCTCTTTGAAATAATTAATAAAAATAAATAAAAAATTAAAATTTAAACTCTGTATCTCTAAAACGAAGCATATTTTGACCTAAGTTTATATGAACTTTTTTTCACAAAATAACTTCGACAACCACCCCCTAAAATATTTCGCACTTATTTACAAACACCCTGTATAATGTAAAGATTAAAAAGCGGAGAAACTAATGCAAGGAAGCAAAAGAGAAAGCTTATTACGGTCCCTTGAAGGGATAATCGATTTTCACTGTATTTCTAACAAGGTTGGCATGATATATATCAATGATATATATTCGATATATATCATTGATATCTATCACGATATTTANTTATGCAGAATTTTATGCTTTACAACTTTTAGAAGAAACTTGTGATCTAAAATATTCCTAGGTTGCAGAGTAACAAACGCTCAGTATTAAAAAATTAATTACATCAGGATATTTAGATCTCTCCAAAATATATTACTATCAAATTTCAAATACGTCAATTACTCTTAGAAATATTAAAAATAATTCTTTTCTAAAAAATAGATTTATATTTCACAGAAATTTTTGTTATCTTTTGATGTTCTACGGTATGTTGAGTATGAAACATCCCACAGTAGTTATTGTCGACTGCTCTAAAGTAAGAGTTGTCTTCGGAAATCGTAATTTTTTTTTCAAATAACGAGACTAATTCTAAGGTATTCCATGTGTATGACTGTGTGCGTGTGTGTGTATCGTAATAACTAAGGCATTCCCTCAAGCAATGTGTCAAACAACCGTCCTTAAACTGATTATCGAAGGAAATACCTGTTGCGATGAAGGCCCCGGCCTATCGTACACCGGATAAGGCTGAGGTCGGGGTGCAGAACGTCCGCTAGTGTCTGCATTTTGTCGGTGCAGCCCACTATTCGGGTACGCTCCTGCCGGCGAATGTCTAAAATCATTAGAACATTCCACATTAACCCATCTCGAGGCGGAAACTAGGACGATTATCTAGTCGGCCGTGACAGGAACAAATGACAATCTAGTTTTTGCTAAGTCATCTGCCGGCTTATGAAATTACTGCACGTAAAAATAATAAAACTGACGACAATTTTAAAATTAATCAAAGTTTTTGTTATTGTTTCGTAAATTTGTCATTTTTCCTTTCAAGCGAGCAATATTCCTAGTTCTTATATCATTCTGGATTGCACATGTATGTATTAGGGTCAGTACCAAAACGCGAAAGTCACGGTCACACTACAAATAAAACGAGTTTTATTAAGATTACATCATATAATGCTAACTTTTTGTTTTCAACTGTCTCAAATGAGACAGAATTCGCGTCAAAATTTCTCTAGATTATTAACAAAAACCTTATGCTCAAAATTCCCGATTAATATGATATAATGTTCATGTCTGGAAATTCGAAAATCAACTGAAATGTTCATACTGCCAAATTGAGTGGACGGTACCTCTAATTTCTTCAAAATGATCGGCTTGGATTTCTGGAAGATTCACAACAAATATGGTTCTTGCACGATGGTTCGCTTGTTAATTTTCAAAAAGATATTCAAGATTACCTTAACAAAGTTGAGGAAGCACAGTGGTGGATCGGTAGCATAGCCACCGTATTCTCCTGACTTAAACCCTTTACACCTTCTTTTATGGGGACATTAAAAAATGAGCACACATGCCTAAAAATGGCAGCCACGAGTAGATGAAATTTGATGTAGCGGTTTCGTAGCACATCATTTTAAACTGTTTTTAGTCCATTTTCAAATTTAAGAATGACTAATAAACACAGTCCAGAGCAGGCTTGTGACATAGGGCATATACTGGGTGCCCCATTTTAAAAAATACACGTGTATATCTCTCAGTATATCAGATCCCCCTCATAACCCTACAACTTTTATTTGAAATTTTTTTTCATTAAGCCCTTAACTTAAGATATTCACGTGTATTTTTTAAAATGGGATTCCCGGTATAAAACATGCGTCTAAAAATGACGACCGCTGTTTGCTGAAATTCGATGTAGCGATTTCATCATTTCATCATTTTAAACTGTGTTTTGATCCATTTTCAAATTTAAGAATGAATGTCAAAGGTAGAGCATACCTATATGTGTATTAGCAAAAAGAATGACTGCTATTCGATGAAATTAGATGTAGCGGATTGATAGCACATCATTTTAAACTGTTTATTGATCAATTTTCAAATTCGAGAATGAATATCAAACATAAATAAACAAACTGACAAATGACAGAAGATAGAGCAGGTGTGTGGGATAGAGCGTATATAAAACATACTACTAAAATAGTGACCGCTATTTGATGAAATTCGATATAGCGGTTTGGTAACACATCGTTTTAAACTGTGTTTTGATCCATTTTCAAATTTAAGAATGTATATCAAAGATAATTAAACACAAATGGCAGAAAACAGAACAGGTTTGTGGGGTAGAGCATATGTTACCAAAAATAATGATCGATATTCAATGAAATTTGATGTAGCGGTTTCGTAGCACATCATTTTAAACTGTTTTTAGTCCATTTTCAAATTTAAGAATGACTAATAAACACAGTCCAGAGCAGGCTTGTGACATAGGGCATATACTGGGTGCCCCATTTTAAAAAATACACGTGTATATCTCTCAGTATATCAGATCCCCCTCATAACCCTACAACTTTTATTTGAAATTTTTTTTCATTAAGCCCTTAACTTAAGATATTCACGTGTATTTTTTAAAATGGGATTCCCGGTATAAAACATGCGTCTAAAAATGACGACCGCTGTTTGCTGAAATTCGATGTAGCGATTTCATCATTTCATCATTTTAAACTGTGTTTTGATCCATTTTCAAATTTAAGAATGAATGTCAAAGGTAGAGCATACCTATATGTGTATTAGCAAAAAGAATGACTGCTATTCGATGAAATTAGATGTAGCGGATTGATAGCACATCATTTTAAACTGTTTATTGATCAATTTTCAAATTCGAGAATGAATATCAAACATAAATAAACAAACTGACAAATGACANCTAAATAAAAATTTTGTATAAAAAATTGGATTAGAGACCATTTTTATGCAGAATTTTATGCTTTACAACTTTTAGAAGAAACTTGTGATCTAAAATATTCCTAGGTTGCAGAGTAACAAACGCTCAGTATTAAAAAATTAATTACATCAGGATATTTAGATCTCTCCAAAATATATTACTATCAAATTTCAAATACGTCAATTACTCTTAGAAGTATTAAAAATAATTTATTTCTAAAAAATAAAGATTTATATTTCACAGAAAATTTTTTTATCTTTTGATGTTCTACGGTAAGTTGAGTCTGAAACATCCCACAGTACAAATTGTCGACTGCTCTAAAGTAAGAGTTGTCTTCAGAAATCGTAATTTTTTTTTCAAATAACGAGACTAATTCTAAGGTATTCCATGTGTATGACTGTGTGCGTGTGTGTGTATCGTAATAACTAAGGCATTCCCTCAAGCAATGTGTCAAACAACCGTCCTTAAACTGATTATCGAAGGAAATACCTGTTGCGATGAAGGCCCCGGCCTATCGTACACCGGATAAGGCTGAGGTCGGGGTGCAGAACGTCCGCTAGTGTCTGCATTTTGTCGGTGCAGCCCACTATTCGGGTACGCTCCTGCCGGCGAATGTCTAAAATCATTAGAACATTCCACATTAACCCATCTCGAGGCGGAAACTAGGACGATTATCTAGTCGGCCGTGACAGGAACAAATGACAATCTAGTTTTTGCTAAGTCATCTGCCGGCTTATGAAATTACTGCACGTAAAAATAATAAAACTGACGACAATTTTAAAATTAATCAAAGTTTTTGTTATTGTTTCGTAAATTTGTCATTTTTCCTTTCAAGCGAGCAATATTCCTAGTTCTTATATCATTCTGGATTGCACATGTATGTATTAGGGTCAGTACCAAAATGCGAAAGTCACGGTCACACTACAAATAAAACGAGTTTTATTAAGATTACATCATATAATGCTAACTTTTTGTTTTCAACTGTCTCAAATGAGACAGAATTCGCGTCAAAATTTCTCTAGATTATTAACAAAAACCTTATGCTCAAAATTCCCGATTAATATGATATAATGTTCACGTCTGGAAACTCGAAAATCAACTGAATTGTTCATACTGCCAAATTGAGTGGACGGTATCTCTAATTTCTTCTAAATGATCCGCTTGGATTTCTGGAAGATTCACAACAAATATGGTTCTTGCACGATGGTTCCCTTGTTAATTTTCAAAAAGATATTGAAGATTACCTTAACAAAGTTGAGGAAGCACAGTGGTGGATCGGTAGCATAGCCACCGTATTCTCCTGACTTAAACCCTTTACACCTTCTTTTATGGGGACATTAAAAAATGAGCACACATGCCTAAAAATGGCAGCCACGAGTAGATGAAATTTGATGTAGCGGTTTCGTAGCACATCATTTTAAACTGTTATTAGTCCATTTTCAAATTTAAGAATGACTATAAAGACAGTCCAGAGCAGGCTTGTGATATAGGGCATATACCGGGTGTCCCATTTTAAAAAATACACGTGTGTATCTCTTAAGTTAAGGGCTTAATGAAAAAATTTTTCAAATAAAAGTTGTAGGGTTATGAGGGGGACCTTGACCATGACCTTCAAGGTCACTTCAACATCAAGTTGATTTGTTCAAATGGAAACACATATTTTTGACACCAGAAATGAAAAAAGCAGAAAATTTTACATCCGACTATGACTTTGACCATGACCTTCAAGGTCATTTCAGTTTTTGTTTCAAAATTCTATTTTTGAGACCAGAAATGAGAAGAGCGGGCCATTTCACATCCATCTATGACATTGACCTTCACGGTTATTTCAAGGTCAAGTTAATTTTTCAAATAGAAACTGGTATTTTTCAGACTAAAATAGAAAATGCGGAGAATTTTTCTTCCAGATATAACCTTGATCATGACCGTAAGTTTCAAAAGTCATTTGAAGGTCATTCTAGTATTTTGCAGGCAAATCTTTAATCTTGTTCATATTTTTCTTTTTGATATGTGGGGCTCGCCATAATTTTCCAGAATACCCATTAACCCTTTGCGGCATGCATTTTTTATTCAAATGTTTTTGAACTCGGGCTAGCTCAGAATTTAGTATGTAATAGTTAAATCCGATACGGCGGATAGGTTGAAGCATTTTCAAAGTGTTATCCATATGAATAGTAAAAATGATTACCAAAAATTGGTCGGCCATATTTGCGATCAGCGCCCTCGAGAACTCCCGAGTACACTATTCGGCAAGACGGAAATGAATTTTGCAACAAAAAACTAAAATGACCTTCAAATGCCCTTGAAGGTCATGATCAAGGTCATAGATGGATGTAAAATTTTCTATTTTCATTTCTGGTGTCAAATGTTTCCATTTGAAAAAATCAATTTGACCTTGAAGGTCATGGTCAAGGTCACCATTAGATGTCCTCCTCAAAACCCTACAACTTTTATTTGAAAATTTTTTTCATTAAGCCCATAAGATATTCACGTATTATTTTTTAAAATGGGACACCCGGTATAAAACATGCTTCTAAAAATGGCGACCGCTATTTGATGAAATTCGATGTAGCGATTTCATCATTTCATCATTTTAAACTGTGTTTTGATCCATTTTCAAATTTAAGAATGAATGTCAAAGGTAATTAGACACAAATGACAGAAAACAGAACAGGTTTGTGGGGTAGAGCATACCTATATTCGCAAAAAGGATGACTGCTATTCGATGAAACTGTAGCGGATTGATAGCACATCATTTTAAACTGTTTATTGATGCATTTTCAAATTCGAGAATGAATATCAAACATAAATAAACAAACTGACAAATGACAGAAGATAGAGCAGGTGTGTGGGATAGAGCGTATATAAAACATACTACTAAAACAGCGACCACTATTCAATATAGCGGTTTGGTAACACATCGTTTTAAACTCTGTTTTGATCCATTTTCAAATTTAAGAATGAATATCAAAGATAATTAAACACAAATGGCAGAAAACAGAGCAGGTTTGTGGGGTAGAGCATATATGTTACCAAAAATAATGATCGATATTCAATGAAATTCGATGTAGCGGTATTATAGCATATCATTTTAAACTGTTTTGATCCGATTTTAAATTAAAAAATGAATATTAAAGATAAATACAAACAAATTGACAAAGGACAGAAGACAGATCAGGATAGTGGGGTAGAGCGTATACAAACATGCTACTAAACATGGCAACCGCTATTTGATGAAATTCAATGTAGCGGTTTGGTAGCACGTCATTTTATCAGAATTTCACACAACTGTTCGCCGACTTTTCTGCCTGCTAAATGTAACCAAGATTACAAATGCCAATAGTTATCATTGCTATCAGCCTTATCCTAAAATTTTTATGGTTATGCCTCTCGACATAGAACAAATCACTTTCTGCAAACAATAACGAAATTGTGCACTCATTTCTTTCAACATATACCCGAAAGCAACTAAAATAAGTTATACCAGAAAATATTTTTAAGAATGTTTCTATATTTTTCCTTTTCCTTTACTTTCTTTATGTTTACACTTAAAAAAAAACTAGGATGACCCTGACTTGGACGAATTAGAACTGACCCTAGTGCGTATACGTCAAAGTGATAAATTTCAGTACTTACCTCACCGTCGGACTCGGTTGACTTCCCGCGGGACTCCTATGAGGATTTTGGGGGTAAGCCTCGGGCGGCAGGCCGTTTTCAACCGGCGGGTGTTGAGCAGATCCCTGAGGGTGACTAGGGTATCCCGAGTTGCTTCCAGAATGCCTGGACGACCTTGCTACGTCTCCATGACTAGCGGCAACCGACGGATGGATGTTATTCACTGCAAAAAAATCGTAAACTTGCGTTACGTGGAAAAACCTTACAGGGGCCTAAAATACCAGTATGGGGATGATTGGACTGAGGCGCAGCGGGTTGTCCGGTGAGAGGTATCGCTAATCTCGCGTTAACCGCTAATAGATGATCCCTCCGTTGCAGCAAGGAAGCCACGTGCTCTTCCAGTCTCAAATTCTCCGCTCTCAACTGGTGCAGACAGGACAGCAATGAAGCGACTGGAAAAAACTCAGTGTGGAACATCGTTTACAAAAAACAGTTTGTGTATTTCATGAAGTCATACACTTACTGTCGAAATGCTGAGCCTGCTCCATCAAGAACTGCGAGCCTTGCTCCCACTGTCTTTCTAAGAGTTGGTCTAGAGTTTGAGGAATGTTACCGCCGCCGCCACCCAGCATTGACGATAGACCGCTACCGCCTGATGTTGTACTAGAACCTGTACTACTCGCTCTTGCCTAAATGGGAAAATTAGGTTATTTTGCAAAAAAAAAACAAAAAATGTTAATTTTATTCAATTATCATGTTTTCGCATAAAATAAGGTGATGTTTGGAGAAGTAAACTATAATTAAACTAACTGTTACTGTAATTTTTTTTATTTTGTCAAGTCTCGATCTTGAATTTCACAAACTCGCATATAAAAAGTTTCTTCTCAAAACCAATAAAGTATTAATTTATCACTAACAAAATTAAAATTTGTATAGCTAAAAATGGAATTATTATCACATAAAGTAAAGTAACATGTGTTCCGGATTTATTGATTAATTAATTTGAGGAATATTTGGCTACGTTTCATGTAAAAATTACATTATCTTTCTCAATTACGTATGGCTCATTAATAGTATCGAGCGATTATACAAGGTGATTCAAGTTTCTGAGAAAAAAATTATTGTAGTTGTAGTACAAGTACTTTCAACCATTACATAGCTGGACAACTGTAGTTTTTAGCATCATTTACAATACGCGTGGAGAACCACATGGCCTCAGCGACTCCCAATATTGAAATAAGATTTTACAATCGTCATTGCAATAGTGTTTACCTGTTATCTGTGGTGTTATGATAGTGTTTACAATAGTTTTTTAGTAGTTAGTGAAAAAAATGGCTTACGTGTATAGCAACTCGGAGTTGATGGATATCGTTTTAATTTATGGTGAAGCAAAACAACATTTGTATTATGGGGAAGCATTTGTGTTATGGTGAGCTACAACAATATTTGTGTTAGTTCGTAGAAACTGAGTAAGACGGGCCCAAATGTGTTTACACGTCGGTGAACAAAATTTTCAACAGTCAAGTATGTCAAATTATTTTATTATTTAAAACCACAAATTAATTTTATTAATTAATAATAATAATAATAGCGGCAAAAGCAGTTGAATTTGCTGGTATAAAATAGGTGCTATAAAATTCTTATTTCTTTCCTTGCGAAATTCTCACAAATTAAAAGTTATTTTCAAAAACACTTACCGACTGCACCACCCTATGGTGAAGCTGCGGCCCCACCAAATTAGAATTGTTTTCATTGGGATTGAATATGCTGTGCGCCTCCAGTTCCGAATTCAAATGATCGGTCATTTTTGAATGCATATTCGAATTTGGATTTAACTGGTTGCCCAGCATATGCGGAGCCGTCAGCCCGTTCTGGAACCTGAAACAAAATCGTCAAAAACGCATTTAAATCCAGCCGACGTTTCTTACAATTTAATATCTTTGCTGTCTTTAGCATTAACCGCAGCCGGCGCGCTCTTCCTGCCCTTTGTGCGCCCCCTACTGGTACTTGGGGGGATGCTCTGGCTCTCGGAACTGGGACTGCTCGGAGGAGAGTCCTTTATCTGCGACTGAGATATGGCGGCGAAAGCCCCGGGCGGATTGGGAGGAGGCGGGGTTACGTGTCGAGATCTACTAGTCCGTTTGGGTAACGTGTTGCTGGAGCCACTACCCATGGTGGCGCCCATTGAATTCGAACCGTTTCTTCGCTTACCGCGGTTTGAACGTTCGGATTTCTCGTTTGACTGAGACTGAGATCTAAAGAAAAAGTAGTAATCGATCGTAAAAAGGAGAGTAATAACACTACCGACCTTCCGCGTTTAACGGGCACATCTATTGCTGCGGGTGGTGAGGGTTCCAGTTCTAATTCCATGTCTACTTCGGTGTTGATGGAGTCGACCTGTTTCTCGTAAGTAATCTTCAAGCCGCCTCCACTCATTTCGGATGTCAGTATTCCTTGATTACTGTTTCCACCAGTCATTATGTCTGAAAATAGTCAAAAATATGCTTGGCATGCTCCGTCAATACATATTAAACGCTGTAAGTAACTCTCGTCAGATTTGCTTCCAAAATCAAGTATTTTTGAATAAACTAAGATGCCACATGCTCGATGATTGTGCCCCTTGGTAAAAATTGTTTGAAAACTGAGGTCTATGGGCAAAAACTGACATGTTTGCCCGTTGCACCAAAATATCACATCAGGTTGGAATTCCAACCGTTTTCATTACAATTCGTCAAGGAAACATCTGTTTTTTCCAATAAAGTTCCTAAATTGGCCAAGTAACGCAACCGATAAAAAAATCATACATGTTAAAATTAATTAAATTGAATGTATATATTGCAAATTCAAACCTATTTTTTATGGTTGGCAAAATGACAGATGACTGTAATACTTAATCAAAATCTAGGAACTTCATTTCTCGAGATTTATTTTTTCTAACTCGGTGCAATCAAGAACTTCCTCAAAAAAGCAAAAAAAACTGCACACAAGTGTATTTATATAACCCCCACCGCAATAAAAATTAAAAAAATGCATTTACTGCTTACCCGTACTTATAACAGATGTACTCCTCTCGGCGCTCCCAACACTATTACTCCTTTCAGGTGTGATTGGGCCGGCCGGTAACACACTAGGAATTGGTGGATTAATAATGGATGGATGGGGACTGAGGCTAGTATTTACTAAAGGAACAGACACGACTAGTGACTGAGACTGCGTCTGAGCCGTCTGAATAATTGACTGTGTCGGCAACGACGAATGGGTAACGTCCGATGTGGCCGCTATATCCGCAAACGTCGTGACGGGAGAACTGTCCTTTATAGTCGAAATGGAGGTTAAGGCAACCACTGGTTGATTGGTTATTATGGACTGTGTAGTTTCCACCTTTGCCTGGAAAGATGTAAAATATCGAGAGCGTAGACAAATTAAAAAGGTTGCCAAAGCATGCAACGTTAAAAAGCAACGCCTTCCTGCGCTACTGGGGTATGCTTTATTGCTATTAAGGTTACACAAATTACAAAAAAATATATACAGGGTGGGCCACCAGTAACGCCTCGGTCGCTAGGGACCAAATGGCAAATGTTACAGAAACCTGTTTAGGTGGTTATGTGTAGGTTGAGTACATTTTAAAAATATTTTGAAATATACAATATACAAATAAAATTTTAGTTTTAGAACAAAGAAAAATTTTAAGATGTTCGAATTGATAACAATTCTCTTGAATACAGCATCTTATTCTATCTTCAAATGATATTCTCACATTCCTTAGAATATTTGGGGTGATTGTGGCAAATGCATATCTAATCCTTTCCTTCATATCATCGCAAGTAGTAGGTGGAACACTGTGTACAAGATATATTTTTATACAGCCCGAAACAAAGAAGTCCATTACGAGAGGTTTGGACACCTGTGGTAGCCACTGACATGAACCATTCTTACCTACTCATTTATTACTTAATTATCGATTTATATAATTTCTCACTGAATATGAAAAATGTGCAGGTGCGCCATCTATTTGCATTCACAATTTTCTCCTTATATTTAAAGAGACGTCATCAAGAAGAACCCAAACCAATTC